GCCATACATTTGGGTATCTAGTATATGGCAACCCTCATATCTCTGATCTTAACTTTGCGAAATTTTTCCAACTATTTAAGATCTCTTGAGAAAGTGTTAAGTTGTTTTCTACACTCGACATAATCCCAAACTTTTCAAGAAATTCCCAAAGTTCAGTTAAGATCAGAGATATTCATTGTGCTTGGTATACGTACATATTAGGGTTGCCATACATTTGGGTATTTAGTATTTGGCAACCCTAATATCTCTGATCTTAACTCAACCTTTCGGAATTCTTCCAACTATTTAAGACCTCTTGAGAAAGTGGAAAGTTGGAACAGGAACACAAGCTTCTGACGTTCCTTCCTGGAGTAGCTATATGTTATAGAATACAGATAGACCATATATCTTTTATATATATATATATATATACATAATATCTATAACATTTCGGCTGTGGCATTCTGAACAACAATTTGGATTTGTACGCGATCTTCCTGCATTCAATATACGATTTCGCTTGCTTCATGCTATGGCAGCTATATGTTAAGGGCATACGATCCGCCCGATTCGGGCCAAGTTACACCGAGAGCTCAGCTCACATAGAACATGACTCTATATACGTGTACATAGATAAAGATATATATTGTCTCATGTTTATGGCTATTGATGACGGAAATGCTTTCAACGTATCGTGACAAAAAGCTGCTTGGAGTGAGGGCATTTTTTGTTGTTGTTGCTTCTTCTTCGATTCGCAGTATGTCAGCATTTTCTTGGACTAGGTGGGTGTGCTTGGAGTCAAAGTCAAAGTCGGGCCGAGCTTAGGGTTAGGTTTTTGGATCGCCAGGGCCAGGGTCAGGCTCCGGTTCGGGGTCTGTTCTTTTGAGCATGTTTCGGTCGCCGTTTGTGTAATTAGCTTTTTGTACATTATCGTAAGATCGCGCGCACAGCTGCAGCTGCCGGAGAGCAGAGCTAATTATACGAGCCACAACAACAAATTGCTGACCAGCTGCCCGCCCCCCCCCCCCCCCCCCCCCTGCAAAAAGCCAAAAAAAAATAATAATAGAGGTCAGCACTGGTCGCAGATAAAGATAAAAGCAGGCAAATGTGCTTTTGGCGCTGTGCATGATCATAAATGGAGTGTCGCCCGTTCGAGTTGGAGTCGCGCCCCAAAGACCTCATGGATACGATACACATAACCAAACAACATCCTGAATTGGACATCACATAGAAGAAAAGTGGGCACAAAATTATCGATGGCATCAGGTCCAAAATCGCGTGCAAGCGAGTAAGATATACATACGATGTCTGTTTATTCGCTTACACCACGGCAAACTGCTTGGCTTACTCTCTCCCATGTACTCTCGCTCGCACTTACTCTCAGTGCTCTCTCATGTTTAGGGATCGTTTCAATGTGTGTGTGTGTGTCCGACAAGCATTTCTACCCTTTCGAAGGCACGAGTAATTCAATCAATCGTCAATTCAAGCCCAAATAGTCTTAAAAGTCTTCAATTTGATGTTACAAAATAAACAAGTGGTTATTCTATTTTAGCAGAAAGATGTCAAGTTTGGTGACTCTAGCTCTTATTATTTACCAAAATTGCCCAAAAAACAGGATATCGATATCGATTTTTATCGATTGCTTGGAAACGGGGCCGATAACTTTATCGATTATCGGAAACAAACCCGATCTGCGCGGGAACTAGGAGCATCTATATCTACATCTTTCAACTCTCTAAGTCTCTTATAAGTTCTGAGATACATGCGGACGGACGGACAGACGGACATGGCTAGATCGACTCGGCTATTGATGCTGATCAAGAATATATATACTTTATGGGTTCGGAGATGCTTCCTTCTGCCTGTTACATACATTTGCATTTCGCACAAATACAATATACCCTTTTCACCCATTTTTAATGGGTATAGGGTATAATAAGGATAATTCAATTTCCAAGTCGAAACAGTTGTTAACACTTGAGAACCACTGTCAGGTACTGTAAAACCCGACTATAACGAACGGCAAGGAGATTTGTTGCCCTTGACATTCGTTTGCATTTGAAAGTGTATTCAGCTTTAAAGACAAGTATTATTGGAACGTAGTTGTTCCCCATGGCACATGTAGATCAGGCTAACCTCAAAAAAGCCAATAATTTCACGCGTTTCAGTGAAAACGATTGAAATCGAATGCAATTTGTGGCCAGTTCATCCACTCTATCATCCCTCTACTCTACACGGTACTAGGGTATTTGCTAGTCGCACATGCTCGACTCGCGTGCACAACATTCAGGGCAACCCTCGCCAACAATAGGACATTCATTCTAATTGGGCATTCTAATTGGAAACTGTCACGCTGTGTCCAAAACCAAGCGGACATCCGATAAGGCGAGCTACTGAATAACAACAACTGTGTGTATATTGTAATCTTGCAGCAACAACAACAACGGAAATGGCACCGTTGGCCAGAACAATGATGTCTACAATATTGTGCTGCTGATCGTGGACATTGTTGTTTTGCTGATCAAGTTTTGGCTATCGATTGCCGAGGAGATCATCAAGGTGTTCACCAGCCGGCCGCAGAGCGATGTCAGCGGCCAGTTTGTGCTGATCACGGGCGCCGGCCATGGCATGGGCAAGGAGATGGCGCTACAGTATGCGGCCATTGGTGCCAAGGTCATCTGCTGGGATATTAACGAGCAGACGAACGCACAGACGGTCAAGGATATCAAGCAGGCGGGCGGCACTGCCTACGGCTATATATGCAATGTGGTCAAGCGTGAGGATATTAACGAGCTGGCCGGCAGAATGCGCAAGGAGCATGGCTTCATAAGCGTTGTGATCAACAATGCTGGCATTATGCCCTGCCATCCCCTGCTGGAGCATACCGAACAGGAGACGCGTCTCATGTACGACATCAATGTGCTCGCTCACTACTGGGTAGGTCCCATCTGCCATTTAGCTTCATGTTCATGTCGAATTGATTTTGTTGTTGCTTGCAGATCATTCAGGCCTTTCTGCCCGACATGCTGGAGCGCAACGAGGGCAGCTTTGTGGCGCTCTCATCGTGCGCCGGTCTCTTTGGCCTGCCCAATCTGGTGCCCTATTGCGGCACCAAATTTGCCGTGCGCGGCTATATGGCCGCCCTGGCCGAGGAGCTGCGCCAAAAGAATCCACAGAACAATGTAAGCAGCAGCAGCAGCTTGAGTTTTGAGCAGCATTCGACTAATTGACAATTTCAGATCAAACTGACCACCATATATCCGTATATGATCGATACGGGTCTGTGCAAGAATCCGCGCTATCGCTTTCCAAATTTGTTCAAGCTAATTGCGCCCCAGGCGGCGGCTGCATCGATCATTGAGGCTCAGCGTCAGGGCCTGGAGGAGGCGTCCATACCGCGCCACTATGTGACCGTCGAGAAGCTGGCTCGCCTTATACCCAAAAAGGCATTGCGATTGATCAACGATTTTCTCGATACGGGCGTTGATACCGACAAGATCTAAGCCCTAAACCAAAAAAAAAGAAATTGAAAACAAAACCCCAAAGCTTTCAATGATTATTCTAAGTCTCAACAGCTTTAACGTTTTATTTTCCCACAATTTTTTTGTTTTTTTTTTTTCTACTTTCTCTGTGGAGCTTGAGAGTACTTTTATGCTAACCTACTTATTTGTACACGATGTGAATTTAGCAAGCTTAAAGGTTGTTACTTAATAAACAAATAACTATACGTTGTTAAACTTATCTAAGCTTGGAATCCAATTGAGTTCCGTTTTCATCAAGTATCTTATGATTATATTGATTAGAGATCAGCTGGAATATTTTGTGCTCTGATCAGTTCCTAATTATGTTAGGAATTCGTTATTATAATTATTAACCGATATATTCCATTTAAATCAGTTAAAGTTAGCTAAGATCCTTTACGAATGTGATCAGTTGAGATCAGTTCCAATCAAGTCTAATCGAATTACTCAAGATCAGTTTCTATAGGATCTAGAAACTGTTAACATAAGTTGATTTTATTGGTAGAAACATTTCGAATCACTTTCAGATCAGTTGCGATCAGTCAAGATTGTGTATTTACATGATCAGCTAAGATCCTTTAGTGTCATGATAACCTGTAGACAGTTGAGATCAGTAACTAAGATCAGTTGCTAATATAATCAGAAGTAAAGATCATAAACTGGTATGATCAGTGATTTCTGGTAGAAACATTTCGAATCACTTTCAGATCAGTTGCGATCCGTCAAGATTGTCTACTTATATGATCAGCTAAGATCCTTTAGTGCCATGATAGCCTGTAGACAGTTGAGATCAGTAACTGAGATCAGTTCCTTCTTGCCTAGATCAATTAAAATCTATTGCTGATCACTTGGAATCGACTAGCGATAAGATCAGTTGTTGTTCTATTTAGAACCGTTTTTAATTTGTGGCATGATCATATTGTGTTTGGCGGCTTTTGTGATGATGCTTCAGCTTTGAATTGTGTTTTGAGTTCACGAAGTTCATTGTTCTATTAAGATCAGGGTTCTGCTTTAACCCTTGGCTTTGCATACCCATAGAACCAGTTTATATTACAAATAATTATAGACTTGATTGTCACTCAGTGTTACGAGCATCATGACTCAAGCATTAAATATTCACATATTCAAGTTTATAGAGCTATTGCGTACAAGACCTATTAAAACCGAGCGCAATTAAGATCACTTAAGTATGCAGTTTTTTTTCACCATTTACTTTATTATATATACGATTAAGCAGGCTATTAAAATGTGGCTGTTCCGAGAGCTCAAATCCACTCACATTGGTGGAAAATGTGTGAGAAAAATATGTAGCAAAAAAAAAAAGTTTTAATTTAAAAAAAAATGAAGATCAGCAAGATTAAGAAGATTTTTGAACTCCATGTAGCTAATGCCCTATGACAATCAGAAAGAGATAAGCTTAGCCCTTGGGTACTCATAGAATCCGCCTTAACCCTTGTGTGTGATAAAAAGGAAGACACGAGAATAATCAGTTCTTGATATATATATTTGAAATGGATTTACTTTTGTGATTCGAGAAGATGCTGGGTCTACTTCTTGCCCTTGGCTGCCTTGGCTGCCTTGGCGGCCTTGGCCTTAGCCTTGGCCGCGCGCAGCTCCCGGGCCTCCTTGGAGGTGATGGAGCCGGCGCGCTTTTTGCGCGCCTCCTCGAGCTTGGCCTGTTCGGCCAGGTTGTCCAGATAGAATTGCTCAAAGTCGGTGCGCTCCATGACCTTCTTTTCGGCGGCACGTTTGCGATCGACAGCCTCGAGGGTCTCGTGAAAGTTGGACAGGGCCAGGCGGAACTGTTCATCGGATTCGATCATTTTGATGAACTGATCGGGATTGTCGGGATCCAGTTCCAAATCGGGCACAACTTCAACTTCCTCAACTTCCATCTTTGATTTGCGCTCCTCCTCCTCCAGGATCTGGGTGCGCCGACGCAGCTTGATCTCATCCACACGCGCCTCCAGCAGCTTGCTGCGCGTTATCTCGCGCTCAAACATCTGTCAAGGATGAGGGATTAGTGCCGGCTGGAGGAATGCGAATTATAAGTGGGAGCTTAGCTTACGGCTGCCATCAGGGCCTTCTCCTTGCTGGTGGTCTTCTTCATGGCCTCGTCCAGATTCATGATGTGCGTATCGCCATTCGCCAGCGAAATGGCCAAATGCTGTCCGCCCGGCTGAAAGAGCACGGCGGTCACGGTCGAATGGAAATTGATGCTATAGATGGGCTTGCGTTGATTCAATAGGAAATCCCAAAAGTCAACGACCCCATCAATGTCGCCCGTAACAAACATGGAGGCGCGTCCAGTGCTCCAGGCGCCGCACATCAATTGCGAACGCTTCTTTACATACATTGTGCTGGGCCGATTCTTGACCTCCTCGCACCAGATGCGCGCCCGCCAATCGCCGACAATCACAAAGTTCTTCACAAAGAACGGATTGCGATGAATGGTGCGTATTGGTCCGGCACAGATGCTATAATTGCCGATTAGCATCTCGACAGGATTCAGGCCCTTGCGATTGCCCACAAATACCCGGCCCATATCGCTGCCGGCTATGAAACGCACCGGTATCGTATACTCAAACTCTAGCACCGTACAGCCGTGGGCATCTTGGCGATTTTGACGTATGCGCGGATACGGTTCGAGAAATATCTCATTGGCCGGCATTTTGAGATCACGCGTATCCCAAAACTTAATGGAGCCATCCAGCGATGAGGTATAGAATTCCGTATTCGATTTGGAGTACACCCAGGTTAGCGATGAGGTCATCTCGCGATGTGCCGCCTCCATGGGGCACATGCTGGTCGGCATGCCGCTCTCGAATGTCTCCCAGGTGCACACCTTGCCCGTATATGTGCCGGCGGCCATATTGTTCTCCTCCTTGGGACAGATTTTGGCGCACGAAACAATCTCAATGCTGTCATAGAAATACAAGGGCTTTATCGGATTCTTAACATCCCAAACGTAAAAGGCATTGGTGCTGCCATTCGTGTCATCGCTGGTCATCATGCGACGCTTCTCGTTGTGCAGCAGGTACAGATTACTGTACTGGGTCATGATCTGTTTGTTGTTGTTGGGCATCCAGTTGATGACGGACATATGGCGCTGCGGCTGCCACATGTCGTGAATGATGTTGATGGTGCGCGACTTGAAGGGCATGCATATGGTGCGACCCATATCGCTGGGCAGATCATCAAAGAAATGATTGTAGATATTGATGGCATTGTTTTGGCGCGCCGTGTTCATTGTGGTGCGTATCAGTTCCTTGACCTCATCGCCCCAGGCATCGTCGCGTTCGACTTTCTTTCGATGGCGCAACGTTTGCTCCTCATCGTTCATGTTCACCTCCTTGGGCCAGCCGCCCTCATAGTGATACATGCCGTGCTCATCGTATGTTGCATTCTCCGTTTCCATTTCACTGAACGCCATCACGGCGCTCAGCTGAACGGAACGTGTCTGCGGATTGCCCATTATGTACTTGAGTCGTAGGCGACTACTTGGATGTACGCTGACCATCAGCTCGTTGCGATCCTCGAACACGCACTGGCGGCCAAAGCGACGACGCTCGCGCGTCAGCACCACCTGATTCTGATACATGATGTTGCTTGTCCGAAGCGCCTATAAAAGTAATAACTCAATGTCTAGTTGGTTTCTATTGTTTACTTTTACTTAAAAAATATTCGTTTTCAGTTGTATATTGTTTTAATTTTTTGAAATTTAACCAATTTACCACATCGAGATTTACAAATGTCACAGACGTTATGAATTTTTAAATAATAACTGTCAGCAGCTGCTATTCAAAATTCATTTTGGCGCTCTGTACAAGCTGCTTACATGTGGAGCAATTCTGTTTTGCTGTGGAGCAACTCTGTTAAACGTGTCGATATTAAAGTTAATGCTAGCGTACATTTATGAATGACTGAATGCAGCTGCTGTTGCTTATTATTCAAACATAATGGCAATCAATTGGCTGACAACTTTAAATAGCATAATTGTGCATGCCATAAATGCTGCAAGTACACTTAACATTAACAGACCGGTTGCACAGCTATGTTAATTGTACGTATAATTACAGCTCAACAGTCAGTGTGAATGGCAGCGTGTGCGCGTGCACACGTGAATGGCGCTGCACGGCGAGTACACAAACGCAACATTGGAATTCCGTTGTGTCTCCCGGTGGTTACCAGATAAATAAACCGTGCACCGCTGGATTTGCCAGTGCAAAATGTCTCCCAAATATACGCACGCAATCGTTGCCAGGTGAGTAAAGCCGCCTGGCCAGAGTCGAAGCGCCGGCTCTAGCTGCGCAGCTCACCTGGGGTTGGGCACAGGCAGCAAATAGAAATTAGGTCATGTTGCCTAGGCAATGGCTCAGTGGTTGTTTGGGTGGGGCCAGGTTTAGGGGTTGGGGGGGCAACATTATTATGACTTGACACACACCCACCCACGCATTGAGCCCGCGTCGAGACGTGAATTAATTCATTCATTCGTTTATTCATCATAATTCGCACTTGATTGTTGTTAATTCGTTAAATTCCAAATTCCTCACACTCACACACTTCCTCTCCCCGCTCACCCTGCAGAATCTCGAACGCCCTGCTGGAGACTGGCAGCTTTGATGTGCAATTGGCGAAACAACAGCATGAACAATATTGCGCCCTATTGCGGGAAATCGGACTGGATGTGATTGAGCTGCCGCCGGATGATGCCTTGCCGGAAGGTGTTTTTGTTGAGAGCAGCGCCGTAATTTGCAATGGAGTTGCGCTTATTGGACGCTCAGATAATCCAAAGCGTCGGCGCGAAGCCGAAACCATGGCGATCATATTAAAAAAGGAACTCGATATACCCATTATTGAAATCGATGATCCCCATGCCCAATTGGATGGCGGCGATGTGCTCTTCACGGGTAAGTCCAAGCACTTCCACTTTATTGATATAATCGCTGATATCTTGCAGGGCGCGAGTTTTTCATTGGCATTTCAAGCTTTACGAACGAGGAGGGCGCACGCGCCGTGGCCATGGCATATCCCGAATATCCAGTTACACCCATAAGGGTGCGTTGGCCCCTTACTATATATAGTATATATTGAATTACAAGTCTTATATTAAAACTGATTACCTTCGACAGGTGAACGGCTGCAAGCGCCTGAAGTACTATGTAACCATGGCCGGACCGGATGTGCTGTGCGTGAGCACGAGTGCCACCTGCCAGGAGATTGTGAAGCGGATGGAGCGTGAGGCGAGCTTTACGTATCAGAAGCTAACGCTGCCCGAGGAGTGTGCGGCAAATATGTTATATATCAATGGCACAATTGTTCACAGATCACCCGCTGAAATTCCAGAAGCATACAAGGTATTTACCCGACAGTTCACAGACTCCGGCATGGGCTCATTGGTTTTTTTCTTTTTCCCCTTTTTCAGACTTTAAAAGAGAAAATCGACATTCCAACACGTAATGTTAACATTAGCGAATTTAGCCAATATTCCAGTGGATTGAGCTCAGCGTGTCTGCTGCTGCGACGCTGGAAATCTATACGCAGCATTTGAATCTGTATCGAAATTGTTGTATCAATCGAAACACATCCATGTTTATTGTAAACAAATATGAATGTTATTTTGTATTTAAACACGCACAGGCGCTCGAATTCATTGTTGATCGCGCAGCAATATCAAATGTCAAGTAATAATTCATAAATATTTCTATTAGGCATGCATTTTGTAAAACGTTATTTGTTAAACTTTTAAGTGATAATGTTAAAATATTTATACACACAAACACTTTTAACACACATCTCTTTCGTACACATTCGTCTAAACTATAAGCGTGTGCTTTGTGAACCTTTAAAAAACAAAAAAACAAAAAACATTTCCAGCCACTTGATTGTTCATTAACATTAAATAGTTGTTTAATAATGGCATATACAAATAATATTAATATATATAATATTTTTTATTATTGGACTCTCAGTTGTGCGACTGTCCAGCCAACGAATGATCTACGAAAGTATCTACTGTACAAGTAGCTGTTAAATGTGTTCACTGTACTCAGCATATATATAAAAATAAACTTTTTTGTAAATTCTTTACAAAACAGCCAATACCTTTTATATTAAGCGCAAATTTCTGAAAGCAAATCCTTGACTAAGCTCTAATCTAATCTCTATTAAGATATTAAAGTAATTCGTAGCATGGAGACGTCTATTGAGCTCCTTATTAAATAATGTGCACAGCGCCATAAAAGATCCATTGATATAGTTGTGATATTGAGAATCTATGAGAAGTTTCATGGGTATTCAAAACATTTCCTAATATCTAGGAAATATTTTGCATACCCATAAACTTACTCTGCACATGGCCATTAAATCTAAGGCATGTACTTTTCATCGCCTTTTCGTGCATAAATATTTCTATTATTTTTGACTCATTTCCTTTTATGAGTATGAGTACTATGGATAGCTTGCAAACTACTCATAGTACTCATTGTACTTCAAATACTCATTCGAGTACTTTCCCCCACTAAGATATGATTTGAATTGAAAAGAAAAGACTCGTTTTTCTTGTTGCTTTTTTAAACATTTCATTATTCGCACTTAATATTGGTAAATATACAAAATACATAATACACATAAGATTAGTTGCTAGAATTTAACATTTTAAAAACTTTTTTTAATATTTAAGATGAGTTCAGCTTTAAGTTGAGTTATTTTGTTTCGATGTTGTTTGCTTCATTTTCTTTTTTTGCTTTTGCGAAATGTCATAATCTCTTTATGTATAGCAATTCTTACAGGATATCTATATAGACATAATAAATAGATGATATAGGAGTCAAGTGAATTGGATCGAGTAAATGCGAAATGACTTAGGCTAGACAACTATATATATATATATATAGGCATATATCTGACATATACCTGTCAAGCAATTACAATATACAGTAAATAGGTCTATATAAAAATGCTTAGGTTCTAGTTGAGGACAGGATTACTTTGGCATTGGCACCTGCAAGCATCCAGCCAAGCACGGAGGGTTTATCGTATGTCTCTATAACTATGCCTATATCTAGATGTTCTTTTCTTTTTCTCTTTCTTTTATATATGCATTATATATTCTATAAGCTAACTAGGATTGTTGCGAGCGCTGTGCTCGTTGCCGTTTGCTCTAGGATCGATATAGGATATGACGCTGCTCTGGCTGCTATCATCCTCGACGGTTTCGTTTAGATGATCGTGACTGGGATTCGGCTGTGGCTCCGTTTTTCGTGCACGATCTGTGCCAGCTGCTGTTGAGCTGTGCGCCAGCTCCGGCAGCAACAGCGGCTTACAGTTCTTGAGCGGACTGCGACACTTGATGGCCTCGTACAGCTCATCGATGGAGTTATTCATGGCCTCCTCATCATCATCCTCCTGCTCATCCAGGTGCGGTACACCCTTGGCTGTGGCTTCACCAACCGCGACAACTTGATGTTGATGCGAATAGTGTGCATCCTCGTTGGCAGCGCCATTAGCATTGTTGGCGGAGCAACTGCTGCCACTGTAGGCGACAAACTCATCGTCAAACTCATTGAGCACATCGACATCGGCGTCGCTGGCATTGGACGACTGATAGCAGCGGAAATCATCGGTCAGTGTCAGATTCAAGTCATTGTCCGCCTGCGGTGCATAGAGACCATGGCTGCGTATGCTAATCTCCGAATTCTGATAGTTGAGATCGCTCTCGTTGGTCGGACTGGCGGATAGCAGGCGTGTGCTGCTGCTGCCGGGCAAATTGAAGTCCACATTGGGCAGATTGCGTGCACTGTGAGTGGCCTGGCCCAGCTGTGTCAGATTGCTGCTGGAGCACGAGTACATCAGCTGTGTGACCATCGAATTGGCACTGCTGCCGGCCAGCGAGCCCAGCGCATTGCCGCCGTCCAGTGCCGAGGCAGCGGCGCAACCATTACCATCCTTGGCCGTTGTGCCGCCCGTGACCGCGCCCGTGGCCACGCCCGCAGCCAGCATGTCGCTAATGTTGTTCAACGATTTGGACTGCTGCTGCTGGCTAAAGCGTATGAGCACGCTGGGAAAGTCATCCTCCAGCCGTATATTGTTGGTCACCTGCAGCGAATGGGACACATAAATCTCGTGCCGCTGCAGCAAAGGCTCCTCGGCAGCGGCACCGGCGGCGGGTAGCGATTCATTGGCCAGCACCGTCTCCGGCAGGCCCAGACTGTTCATGGCCTCCAGGCTGGGCGGCTTGACGGGCGTAGAGCTAATCGGAGCGCCACGTTCGCCCCGAAAAACATGAGCATTTAGCTCACTTTGCGGTGTGCCCGGCATGGTATTGGCATAGAGCGGAGCATGCTCATCTAGGGAACTGGCATCGTCATCCTCGTGCGTGGTGGTCAGCAGCTCATCGTCATGCTCGTGCAGCGTCTCATCGAGCAGCGAGGGCGTCCGCGTACCGTTGCGCAGCTTAATCACCTCATGCTGCGGCGTCTGCGTCTCCGGTATATTCGTATAGATGTTCGCCTGCAATATTTTCGAAGTCGGCACAAAGCGTTTATACTGCAACGATTCCATGGCCGCCGCCGCCGATGCCGTCGGCTGATCCTTGTTGAGCGGCGACAACTGTTGCCCCATGGATGACTTGTAGTGCAGATTTGTGTTGTTCACCTTGCTGCCGCCGGCGAGCAGTGTCATCGCATTGTGATGCCGCGCATAGAGCTGCTCGGAGCTGGCATCGCTGTGCAGACTGTGCTGGCTGGGCAGCGCCTGGCGCTGCAGCTCAAAATTGTTGCGCTTGGCCAGACGTTTCTGTTTCTTGAAGAACTTGCGCGCCACATTGATCTGATTGGGATTGTAAAAGAGCTCGGCGCTGGGTATGCTCTCCTGCCCGTTGCCCACATGCAGCATTGCGTTCAGACTGTGCTGCCCAACCGCCTGCTGCGACACGGATGTGGCGGCGCTCAACGACTGCTGTTGCTGCTGCTGCTGCTGGCCATGATTGTTATTGATGATGGTGATGCCGCCGTGCGTGGATGTGCCAGAGGCAGCGCCAGCGCCCAGCAGCAGCTGCTGTGTCGTGCAGTCCAGTTGTCCATTGCTTCGGGTCTGGCTGCGCATGCTGCGGGCGCTGCTGCTGCGCTGCTTATTGGAGCACTGGCTATTGGAGCGTGATCCAGCCGAATTGTTCGGCTCATAGAGGCTGCCGGGTCCGGCTTTATAAGCCACAATTGAGTTGCTAATCAAAGCAGCGCCGCTGCCACCGGCCTTGGCATTGCCAGTGCCGCCCGCAGCGGCTGTCGAACGGGCGGCCGAGCCCATGCGCGCATTATTATAGGCCACCAGACGGCTGGAACGTGCCAGGCGATGATGCTGTGTCCAGGCCTGACGTGCATCGTTCCTGGTCAAATTGTAGAAGAGCAGCAGAAACAGGCCCAAGGCCACACAGCTGGCCACAAAACCGAGCACATACAGCTGCTGCTCGCTGTGCACATAGAATGCAGCCGATAGCCAGGCGCCCACATAGAGCACAAGGAAGATGAAATGTCCGCGTAAATGGGACATATTGGAGCGCTCGAAATCGTCGACAATGCTGCTCAACGGATTGCTCAACGTGCTGTACTGTTCCTGTAGCTGCAGCTGCAGCGCCGAGCTGCTGGCATTTGTGTGCGCCTCCTGCTTGATGGTGGTGGCGCAGCCATTCGCGTCCAGCCAGTCCAGATCGATGTGCTCCGTCGCCTGTGTATTGTTATCCGAATATTGACGCTGGCCGAGATGCTGTTGCTGCTGTTGCTGCTGCTGCTGCTGCTGCTGTTGAAGCACATTCACCGTCTGCTGGCTGAGCTGATAGTAGATGCACAACGCCAGGATGCCGCTAAAGATGAGCAGAATGCCGGCGGGCACAAGCAGCGCATTCAGCGTGGTCGAATTGTGCAGAAAACAGTAGCTATAGGCGGCATATTCGGACATGTTGACGGCGCTGCTAATGCCACAGATGAGCAGCGCAATGCCCCAGCCGACCAGATAGATGCCCAAAATCGGTTTACGCTGATGCGGCTCCTGTGGCATCGATCCGGCTGCCGCTGCCGCCGCCGCCGAGGTTGGCATCGGCAAAGATGTGGCCATTGTCGATTTGCTGAGACGCTTGTACATGCTGCTCAGGCTAACGCATAGCCAGAGCAGCACACAGAGGCTGAGATAGTGCAGCAGCAGTCCAAAGAGTCGACAGTGCAGCAAATTGGTCGTCTGATAGATGCCCAGCACAAAGGTCAAGCAGAGCGTGGCCAGCGCCAGCCAGGTATTGACCAGCGCATGCCGCTGCACACGATTGATGCGTATGGCACAGCCGAATACAACAAAGGTGACAATGTTGAACCAGGCGCAGGCAAACAGCACCGCACAGCCCACATATATGGGCAGCGGGGCATGGCGGAAACGTGCACCCGCCCACTCGCTGCGATAATCATTCAAATAGGCGGCACGCTGCAACAGCCCAAAGTAGCCAGCACTGCGACTGCAGCTAAACATGAGCAGATTGCGATGCTGATAATGCTGCTGGCAGACATGTGGATTCCAGGCCTGCTGCTGTTCGTCCCACCAGGCGGGCAGCGGTGCGCTGCGCTCATCGTGATACGGATGTGCGCGCAGCATGATCGTGATGCGTTGCTGATAGACATCCTCCTGCTCCATCATATTGAGTTCATCGCCGGACGCCAGCGCTTGACTGGCCAGCGGCTCGTCCGTGCTGCTGCTGTAGAGACGTGCGCCAATAATGACCGAGGAGAGCGTCTCGTTGTGCTCGCTCTGCAGCTGCGGCAATAGCTTGGCATAGCGATGCAGCGTGATCATCAGCCGAACGCTGCTCGTGCTCTGGTTGCTGCCGCCGGCCGTTAGCTGCTCGTTGAGCACCTGCTGTGGCAGCTGTATGGCCGCATCGATATCGCCATGCTCGTACATTGGTATTGTATCGTTGGCGCTGTTGCATTGCAGGCCACGCTGGCTGCCAGCCAGCCAGACGCACGACATGCTCACAAACTGTTCCGGACTGATGTCGAAGAACTCCACAAAGATGTTACGCTGCGACAACGACTGATGTCGCCCCTCGATCAGCTCGCTCTCGCTGCCGCTGGAGCTGGCCAGACGCAAGGCGGCAGTTTCGACAATGTGCAACAGCTTGTGGCCAGTTGATTGCTGCAGCTGTGCAGCCTCGAACAGCTTGACGGGCAGCGTTAGCAGCTGCGAGACAATGTCCATTAGCAGATAGCTAATCTCGTGCTGATGCGCCTCCAGCTGTTCCAGATACTTGAGCAGTGTGCGCGCTATATACTCCAAATCCATCGGATCGCGTATCTTGTGCAGCTGCGTCTGTATGTGCGTAAAATTATGCAAGCGTCGCGCTATCTCCAGCGCATTCTGGCCCTTGGTCAGCGTCAGATTCACCTTGGCAAACTGTTCGAATATGCGCGTCGTTTCGCTGACATAGACACAGCTCGCCGTGTTCAGCTGCTGCCACTGGCCGTTGTGGCCGCATTCGTGGGAGGCGCGACGCTGCTGGCTAACATCGCTCGGCTCCTCGACGCAAGCCTGCAGCACGGTCTCGCCGCGCATGGTGCGCGGCCAATGGTAGCTGCCTTTGTTTGTGTGCGTCACAACGGCATCGCAATAGAGCGTGCCCTTGGCCACAACATGCAGCACTATGGACTGGGAGAGATTCGCCTGTTGGCTGCGCAGCGTGCAGTCCCACATGCCCGTATGATTCTGTGTGAGGCTGCCGATGCGCAAAATCGAATTTAGTATGCCCGAATCGGTTGAGTGACGCGAATCCAGATGCACATCGTTGAATATTTTGGTCGGATCACGATAGATGATATCATCCGTCGAATTGTGCGGCCGTATCTTATCCGACCAGCCCCAGAAGACATAGGCACGCGTGGGCAAATCCTCAGATTCGCGCGGTGCCCCAATGGCCACACGCGGCGCATAGCACTTCAGCTGCAGCTCGTCGCCCTCAAAGGCAATCTGCAAATGTTAAATATATAGAAAGATGCCAATGTCATCAAGGTTCAAGTTACGCACCTGATTCTGTTTGGGCACCAGCTCCAGCAGCGGCTGCAACAGTGATTCGCAGCGAAAGTCAATGCCGACTTTGAGTTTCTTGAGCGGCATGCCACGAAAATTGATGGGTGAATCACATTTGGGCGGCGGCTGTAAGCGTATATCGCGCGCATTCGACCAGGCAATCAGCCAAATGAGTCCACAGTCACAGGCCAAGGGATTGTTGGACAAATCACTGTGAAAATTAATGAAAACTAAGTAAACAAAATCAAGTTCCAAGCAAGTGCTTGGCTAGCCAATGCCCCCAAAGCTACCCTTTACTAATAATCTCGCTAAAGGGTACAGGGTCTGATCTTAGCGACAATTGCAGGACATAGCTATGGCATAGAAAAGTGCGTGTATATCAAGGCGCAAGGCTCTAGATGTGCTCTAGATGTGGTTTCAACATCAAGGTGTTCACACAGACAAACAGACAGTTGGACCGCCGGACAGTCGGACAGCCGGACAGTTGGCTAGATCGACAGCTCGTCGTCCTGATCAAGAATTAATATGGCTGCTTCCTTCTGCCTATTAAACCATCGTGGTGCAAAAACTTACAGCTGCTTCAGCTTGGGCATCTGTTCGAAGGCGCCTTCGTATATGTGACTTATTGAGTTATTTGCCAGCCGCAAGCGCTCCACGTTTGGCAAACTGTTGCCAAATGTGTCCTTGTCCAGTTCGCTGAGCTGATTTGAGTTTAAATCCAAACGTTTCAGTTTCGTAAAGCTCTTGAAATCATCTTCGGTAATTTGTGCAATTGCATTTTTGCTGGCCGTGCTGCAAGTGCCCCGAATTTAGTTATTATACAAAAATATTGTTGTATTGCAATGAATTTAATGTGCACACTTACATGCTGTCTATGTTGTGGACATCGTCGCCAAAGTTCAGTTCCTTCCAATTAACAATTTGCTGCTCGTCGCAGCGGACGCGCAAAGCTTGTATATTCTCTGAGATGTTTTTGCAGCTGCATTTTTTGGGGCATATTGCCTGCACAACAAAGGTCGTCTGCGTTACGAGGGCGAGCAGCGGCCACAGGCATAGCCACTGCAATTGTGCAGCGTTCATTTTGAAGCTCATTTATGCATTGACATTTGTGGCACCCATTTAATTAACAACTCATCTGCAAACAAATGCATAATAAACAAAAACAGCAAAAGTTACAACAAAAAAATTCAACCAGTATTGCTCTATGCACAGAATTTTCCATAATGCTGCGGTCTTAGCACTAAAAATTACCAAAAAAAAAAAAAACTTGACCAGCTATCGATAGTCACAATATACAATATATAAAAATATATACAAAAAATGCTGGCAGAACTAGATTTATAAAATCCCATCTGGAAGTAATAATAAAATGAACCTATCTCGGTGTCTGTTTCACCGATATTCAAATTATTGACGTTTACAATATTATCTGTCAATTGATGTGCATACACTGGTTGTAATGGGACTTATAAAATAAACAATGTGGCATAATGCACCAAAAAATGCCAAATCCTTTATGGCGTTTGCTGAGTACCAATTTTTTTTTTTTAATATTTGTAGTCTTTTCCCAGCTGAAAGTGAGGCAAAACACAATTGCAACTAGACTAAACAGTTAATTAAATCAGCGGCTTTCAATAGTTATTTAATTGGTGGCTCGAATAATCGGGCATAATTTTCTCAACTTTGAGTGTGTTCACACTGGTGTGGTAAATTGTTTTTATAGAAATTGACGTGTCAGATATATGTTAGCTTAAATATAGCATAACATATTGAACACGTCGTTTAGATAAGCAGAAAGTGGATGGAGTACTTGAAGAGTGGCATCAAGACCGTGCTGGGCGGCACAGAGCCGGGCCAGCAGCCCAGCGCAGCCGAGACCGTTGAGAAGCTCGTCGATCGAGTTTATTCCTCAACACTGCTCGAGGATCGCCGGGATGCCTGCCGGGCATTAAAAGCGCTCTCACGCAAATATCGGATAGAAGTGGGCGCCCAGGGCATGCCACCTCTAATACAAGTGCTGCAAAACGATGGCCAAGACGCTGAGATAATTGGCTACGCCCTCGACACGCTGTGCAACATTGTGACCAGCGAGGAATTCGACGAGGAAGCCGACAATCCGGCGGTGTCCGTCAACGTGGGCGAACAGTTCACCGAGATGTTCATTAAGAGCCCGGAGCATGTCACCCTGGTCATGGGCTATCTGGATGAGTATGATTTTCGTGTTAGACGCGCGGCCATACAACTAATAACATCTCTGATTGCGAACAAGACGCGCGAACTGCAGGATCTGGTGCTAGTTAGTCCGATGGGCGTGTCCAAGCTAATGGATCTGCTCACAGACACTCGCGAGGTGATCAGAAACGATGTACTGCTGCTACTCATTGAGCTGACCAAGGGCAATTCCAATATACAAAAGATTGTCGCATTCGAGAACGCCTTCGATCGTCTGTTTGATATTGTGCGCGAGGAGGGCTGCTCGGATGGCGGCATTGTTGTCGAGGATTGTCTCATTCTGCTGCTGAATCTCCTTAAGAATAACTCAAGCAATCAGCAGTTCTTCAAGGAGGGCTCCTACATACAACGTCTGGCCCCCATGTTCATCTTGAGCAGCACCAATAGCAGCGACCTAGATGAAAGCGGCTGGACTCCACAAAAGGTTTCCAATTTTCATTGCATGCTGCAGGTGGTGCGTGCTCTGGTCACGCCCAGCAATCAGCAGCAGGTGGTCAGCGCCTGTCAGCGTGTCATGCAAAAGTCCCAGCTGCTGAAGGCGCTCTGCGACATCCTAATGGGCAGCGGTGTGCCCGCGGACATCTTAACGGAGACCATCAACGCCGTCGCTGAGGTGGTGCGTGGCGATCGCGACAATCAGGACGAGCTGGGCCGTTTGACGGCGCCCAGCCAGCCGCCACGTCCAGCAATTGTGGTGCTCCTGATGTCCATGATCAATGAAAAGCAAATACAAGCGCTGCGCTGTGCGGTGCTTTACTGTTTCCAGTGTTTCCTCTATCGCAACGTGGACGGTCAGCGTGCATTGGTGCAGACGCTGCTGCCTTTCAGTCCCACGGATTTTAGTGTGCTGACCACGGGCCAGCTGCTCTGCACGGGTCTCTTTTCGACGGATACGCTGGCCAATTGGTTCTCGGCTGTGGCCATGATGCACGCGCTTGTCGATAATGTCGCCCAAAAGGAGGAGCTATTGCGTGTCCTGCTAGCCACGCCAGGCGGACAGCGGCCCATCACACTCCTAGAGCAATGCACCAACCTCATGCAGCAGGAGCGCTATCGCTTGCAGAGCAAGGTGGGCCTGCTAATGCTGCTCAGCGTTTGGCTGGCACATTGTCCCAGCGCTGTTAAGGCCCTGCTCGAGACGCAGGGCACCATGGCCTATCTGACGGCCCAGCTGTGCGCCAATGAGCATGATGAGCGCGAGTATCTGGTGCAGGGCATGTGCGCCTTTCTCATGGGCCTCTGTATACAGTTCAACGACAATTCCCTGCCCAATCAGCGGCGCGAGGACATCAGTCAGCTGATCATCAAGCGCATCGGCCAGGAGACATTCTGCAACAAGCTGAGCGAAGTGTCGCGCCACGAGGCCTACAGTCGCGCCTGCAAGCAGGTCCAGATACGCGCCAAGGGCGCCAGCGAACTGTTGCTGGACTACGAGTACTGCAAGCTGTACAAGGGTCTGGAGGCGTTGCTAGCGAAGCAAGTTAGCGGTTTCGATGTGGATGGCATTGAGCTGACCGAGCTGACGCTCAGTTCGGAGGCGGCGGCCCTGGTCGCTCAATATAAGGGCATTATACGCGGCATGGATGCCCAGATACAGACGCTGCAGCAGTCCAGCAAGGACCTGGAGCAGCAGAATAGCAACTTGAAAGAGCAGCTCAGCCAGGAGCAGTCGCTCAAATCACAGCTGGCCGATCAGAATACACTGCTCAAGGCACAGCTGGCGGCACAGTCACCAGCTTCAGAGCAGCCGGGACAAACGGCGGTGCCGGCAGTTGCTCAGCCCGCCCAGCCGGACAAGGATGAGCTGCATGCGGCACGCTATCTAGCGAACATGTACTTTGAGGAGAACATACGGCTCACCAAGGAGCTGGAAACGCTGCGTCAGCAATTGGCGGCAGAGAAACAGCGCGCCGATGCGGCCAACGAGACGCTGCTGGCCACCCAAAAGGATCAGGAGGATTTGCTCGAGCTGCTGGCAGATCAGGAGGCCAAACTGGCGCGCTATGAGCCGCCGGCAACAACGGGCGAGGCACCGCCACCGCCTGAGCCGGCGCCTGCGCCTGCGTCCGCGCCCGCCGAAGACGACAGATACTATTCCTGTTCCGTCAAAATATGAACATGGCGGATATGGATTGTATTAAGACGCAGCCAGCCAACTGCTCGAGAGGCTGTGCGGAAAGCTCGACTCAACGCCAACTGCCCCCTGCTCCTTATACATTCTGATTGTTTTTACATATATATATATATAATTCAACAATTTATATAGATATACCTACTGCATATATGCATATATATATATAGATCGACAGATATATTTGAATTGTTTCTAAAATTGTAATAAATTTTGTGTAGTTACACACACATGCACACCTGCGTGTGTTCTGTGCGTGTGTGAATTCCACACGAAATAGAAGAGAGATTCGTGGATTATGTTCGTTCTGTTCTACGATACGAAAACCGCAAACGCATGTCAAATAAATAACGATGCATTATTATATAAATATAAACATCAATTAATTGTAATCATGTTTTATAGATTTGATATAACTCAGACGAAGCTGAAGAGGTGATGTTGAGAATCTCGTCCGCTGCCTCTTGAAAGGAAACAGATCGGAGCTGGCGAAAATGGGAACAGGCGCAGGATCGACACTGCAAAGCCAAGCCAAAGAGGTTTCTTAGCCCCGATAACAGACGCTCCAAGCACCTTCTCAATCTCAAAAAGGACATAAGAAACTTAATAGGCTATCGCCTCGGGCAGCTCCATAAGAAGTTCGGATATGTTCCTTGTGAATGCACTGTCTAGCCAAGGATTTCAAAATCAAAAAGATGCCTTAGCCTGCAGGAGGACCATCTCCTGCACTCCTAAAAGACCTAAGTCCTGGCAGTCATGATAGAAAAGAAATAGTTTATTTAATAGTTTCTATAGCAGTATCTATATATGATATATAGTCCCTATATGCGGCCGACTTGGAAATTTTTATAGGAAGCAAGAACTCGGATTCATTCCAGATGAAGTGAATGCCTTGTTTGCACAGGGGCAGACAGATCGACATGGCGAAGACATCAAACCCTTATACCGGGACCCTCACTCCCTTATTCCGGTACCCTCACACCCTTATACCGGGACCCTGACACCCTCATACCTGCAATTTCATTCGATTGAAGCTTCCCGCGCATGACTTAGAACTTTGGCATAACTTTCACTTGAGCACATTCTCATAAAGAGGCATCTGTTTAAGGTTAACACAAGATTTCACAAGAAAAAAAAGATGTGTTTGACTTAGGTATATCTTTTGACCATTCACGATTTATTAACAAATGGCTACAAATTTGTTTCTTATACGATTTGGGTAGATGTTTAGCAGTTGTTGGCGGCCATTTCACATTTACTTCTTGTCACTTGAAACAGAGCTCTTCGATTCACGGATCGAGGCGGAACGGCGACGCTTGGCCTCCTCGCGCTTAGCCTTGGACTCCTTCTTGCGCTGAACCAGGAGCTTAGCATAATCGGCAGCAGCCTCCTTGGAAGCCTGCTGGCGCTTCTTCTTCAGAGCAATGCGTCTGTGTTTGCGCTGCAGCACCACGGGCGTGATGAGACGCTGAATTTTGGGTGCCTTGGAGGTGGCCTTCTTGTTCTCCTTGGCGGGCAATGGGCGGCGCACAACGAAGCGACGGACATCATCCTCCTTGGTCAAGTTGTACAGCTTACGGATCTTGCTGGCACGCTTGGGGCCCAAACGACGTGGAATCGTTGTGTCTGTCAGACCGGCAATATCTTGCTCGCCCTTCTTGATGACAACCAAAGCCAGCACGGACATGTTGGCATCAACAATGCAGCCACGCACAGACTTGCGCTTGCGCTCACCAGTGCGGCGTGGACGGTAGCAGGAGTGTCCCTTCTTCAACAGGAGACGCACACGACCTGCACAACAACAACAAATCCGTATAACAGAAAGTTAGTAAAATTCTATTCAATTTGATTAACTTAACACTTACCGTGAGTGAGCACACCCTGCTTCATGGGGAAGCCCTGCTTGTCGTTACCACCAGCGATGCGCAGCTGATAGCCCTTCCATTCATCACCCAGAATATCGGCTTCCACAACTTGGCCCATACGCTTCTCGTAGAACACACGCAGTTTGTGCTCATCGACAACTTCGAACAGCTTTTGGCATCCCGTAGCGGGATAAGAAACGTTGAGCTGCAAGTAAACACGAAGTTTTTGTTTAGTTCACACATACATATATATATATATACAAATTAACAGAATTGTTATCTTTTATTTTAAGGCCAATCAGTTGAGTTTTTCATGCAACGCTTGATTTTTGCACTAGTTTATTGTTAATGCCAGTTGTTTTTATCAATATTTTTAGATGTTTACAACGTTTGTTATAATATTTTTCACAAAATTTTTGCACACCTTCATTATGTCGGTCTTGCTGCAATCAACACAGAAAAAAAAAGAATCGGTCTTGTCAAAAACCAGCTAGGTAAGGGAAAGGAAATAGGGATGCAGCAGCCATTGATATATCGAACGCAATCGATATGATAATAACAAATAATCGATACCAATTTAACATAAGCCAAACGTTAAATGTCGGTTTCTGTCCATCTATACGGTTATGTGTGCTCCAGTTTTTCACATAATATTTATTGAAATCCGTGTAAAATATGTTTTCTGCCGCATAAACAATTACAAAAACACATCATATCACTCATCACTAACGTATTTTCCTCATCGATATGTTTCAGTGCATACATGGAACAACAGCTGTCAAAAATGTGAGTGACCATGCGCTTGCATTATAGAACAGGGTGCCTGTGTCCCCACGATAAACAACGATTACAACACGTGCTGTGCTCAGTTTTGTTATTAAAAACCTTATTTCAAAATACACAAAAATGGGCAAACCGAAGAAGGCAAATGTGGCGACTATTAAAACAGTGAACTTGGAAAAGCAAATCACAGAGGGCAAAGTGTCCAAAGCAAAGAACAAGGAGAAAGTTAAACTACGTGCAGAGGAGTCACCGGTAAATTAATCAACCTAAGAAATAAAATGACAAACCAATCGCAAGATATATTATTATTATATATATTCTAGAATATAGACGCGAAAAGCAGTCAAAAGATCTTGGCAGCAGCCAGACAACAGCAACTGGAGCTGGACGAGGAAAACTTCCCAAGCTTAGCGCCCCGCAGGAATGTTAAATTCAATTTAAGTATGTTATATCGCGTATATAGAAGTAAAAGTTGATATTCCCCCATTTGTTAATAACTCTATCCACAATATAGACGATGACGTGGAGCAGGAAAAGGAAGATGTCAACGAAAACGATTTCATGGCCGACCTGGACATGGATGATGATGATGTCGCTGCCTTCGAACGCTTCCAACAGCCGCCCACCAAGGAGGGCAAACGCACATTACATTTGTCTGAGATAATAATGCAAAAGATCCAAGAGAAGGGCGCGGATATACACACAAAAATATCCGATGAGGGCTCGCTGAAAATCGAGGAAATCGATCCCAAGGTTAAGGAAATGTATGAGGGTGTCCGGGAAGTGCTCAAGCGCTATCGCAGCGGCAAGATTCCAAAAGCCTTCAAGATCATACCCAAGCTGAGGAACTGGGAGCAGATATTGTTCATAACAGAGCCGCACAACTGGAGCGCTGCTGCCATGTTCCAAGGCACACGCATCTTCTGCTCGGTGCTGTCCCAAGCGATGGCCCAGCGTTTCTATAACCTGGTGCTCTTGCCGCGCGTTCGCGATGATCTGTGCGAATACAAAAAGCTCAATATGCACTTGTATAATGCACTGAAACGCGCTCTCTTCAAACCGGCCGCCTTTATGAAGGGCATCATACTGCCACTGCTGGAGTCCGGGGATTGTACATTGCGTGAGGCCATCATATTTGGCAGCGTTGTGGCCCGTAGCTCCATACCCGTGCTGCACTCGTCCGCATGCCTGCTGAAGATCTGTGAAATGAGCTATTCCGGTGCCAATTCGATATTCATACGCTATTTCCTGGACAAACGTTATGCTCTGCCGTATCGTGTCATCGACGCGGCCGTCTTTCATTTTCTAAGGTAAGCCGAACCCAAACTCTATCTCATTGCATCAATAACCGTCCTCGATCTTTGCAGATTTGAGAACGATAAGCGTGAGTTGCCCGTGCTATGGCATCAAAGTCTACTCACCTTTGCACAGCGCTATAAGAATGACATCTCGTCGGACCAAAAGGATGCGCTGCTTCAGCTTTTAAAGTGAGTGAAGTCTAGATAGAAAACAGCATTCAGAGTAATTGAAAATTATGAAATTGCAGAAAGAAATCTCATCCAAAGATTACCGCGGATATCAGACGGGAGCTGCAGGCGGCCAATTGCCGTGATGTTGAGATGATGGAGACTGTGAATGAAACAGCCGGACAGCCAATAAAAATGTACACAGACGAAGATGTTGGCTATGAAGGTTAACCAATTACTGTTTGTAAATTTAGTTAAGAGTTTTGAATTATTTAACTTTTGAAAAATATCAAAAACATTATTTTTGTTTATATAAATATATAGTTTATATATGTGTACAGATACGTGACTGAAATTAACAGCTTAATAGATAAATGAAGCTTTTTTTTTTTGAATTTGTCGCTTTGTATGCCAGCTATCGTTAAGCCGGTACAATTTAATCGAAATCAAAGCGATAAGTCGCGTAAGTTGCTGAGCTTTCTTCCATCACTAAGCGATTACCCACATGTGGCATTCGCACCATCGATAGTTGCATAGCTGTATTCTTGATTATCGATAGCTAAAACGCCGATTAAAACTTGTCAAATAAACAGCAAGTCAGCTGTTGCCTGCTGTCGGTTTCCACAAAAAAGCACTAATAAATTAATATTAGTTAACGTTTTCAGATCGGCTTTTAAAATTTGTATTGACCAATGGATTCGAATTTGCGTAACGTATGCTTAATGTCAGCAAATGCGCCACATTTAATTCATACAAATCTACGCATTGCAGCTTAAAGATTTTCTCACATTATACAACAAAGTCACCGAGTTGTGCTTCAATCGCTGCGTTGATAATCTCAGTCAGCGCGAACTGTTCGACCAGGAGGTGAGCGTGACCAACTATATGCTGCTTTATATATACTTAAGTGCTTAATTATTAAAAAACAAAATAGAGCGTCTGCGTGGACAGATGTGTGACCAAATTTGCGCGCTTCAATCAAAACATGATGAAATCCTATGTGGATGTGCAAACAAAAATTAATGCCAAACGCATGGAGGAAGTGGAACAGAACGCCAAACAATTGGAGCAACAACAGCAGGAGGAACGCATCAAGGAGCAGCTCAAGGAGAAGGAAGTCGCTGCCGCCGCTGCCACAGCTGTGCTGACGCCAGCCAAGCTGTCCATGTAGCAGCAGCAAACGCATGCGGATTGGAATGCCATGCCGCAGCTCCTCTTTTCAATATTAGATAGTTAAGCAGCAACCAACACACACACACACACACACCTAATACACAGCACACACACACACACCTAATACACAGCACACACACACACACACACACACCATCAGTCACTGTAAATGCCGCGCATTTGTCTGCTTGCGCTAATCGGGCTGCCGGGCGCCGGCAAGACACGCCTTAGCAACTGGCTGCTGGAACAACCCACAACTCTTACCGGCTGGAATGTGCTGCATCTGTGCTACGACGACCATTTTAACATAGGACCTAAAGACCACACAGACTATAAAACGCAGCGCAAACTAATACACAATCTTTTGACACAGCTCATTGCGGCACTTCAAGCGGGCGCCACTGAGCTGCCTGCCATGGTGCGAGGTGCAACAACAAAAACAACAACAACAACAGCAGCCATTGGCAACGACAACTATCTAATTGTTTGCGATGATAATCATTATTATCGCAGCATGCGCCATAAGCTTTATCAGTTGTGTCGCAGCCAAAACTGCCTGTATGCACAGCTTCATGTGGCCAGCAGCCTGGACGCATGTCTCCAGGGCAATGCGGCACGTGGTGCAGCCGGCGTGCCGCCAGCTGTCATACAGCAGATGCAAACGCGTCTCGAGCCACCCAGTGCAACAGCCAACGGCTGGGAGAGGCTAAGCCTAACACTAACCAGTACAGACTATGCGGCGGCAGCGCACACTATCAACGGGTTTATTCGATCCTTACTCGAGAGCCAGCTAGTTGGCACGCCTTTGGCGAGCGTGAAACAGCCGCAGGTGCAATCGCTGGTGCATCAGCTGGATCTGCTGCTGCGGGCGCGCATTCAGATCCGCATGGATGCCATCGAAGAACATCAACAGAAACGAATCGGGGGCCACGCTTTGAACGGACAACGCAAACAGATTTTGGCAAAATTTCGCCTTGATATGCGCAACAGGCAGACAGATTTATCTAATCTTAACTTGGAACACTATGTTAATTTGTTAAGCTAGTCTAATGGAAAATAAGCTTTAAACTGTTCGTATGTACATATTTACATAATTTCTACAGTGTAGTACATTAAACAAAAGTGGAAAACAAATTGATCTGTAACATATTCTAAGAAAATATTAACAAGCAGTTGTTAAACCTACTTTTAAAGACTGCCTTACTATGCGAATCTCATGAATTCCATTAAGTCATAGATGTTCATGCTTTGCTTATGAGTAAGAATTTATTGTGAAGGGAATTTAGACCGGCATTTCTAATCTTGATTAACTGGTCGACTCGGCAGTTCATGGATCAGAAAAACATATGGAAAATGTCTACTCCAATAGAGACGTCACGTTTCCAATCACATTACAAAACTAGATTTATTTAGGTTGCAAAAAAATAAGTAAACGTAAGCTAGGGTATTTCTGCAGTTAGACGACTTTAACTTGGCTAAGATCCCGTTTCTCGATCATGCGCATCTGCTTCTTCTTCATACGCTTCAGCTTGGCCGGATTCTTGATGACTTGGACTATTTCGGATCGACGCTCATTGGCCAACCGGCGCTCGGCGTTCTCGACGCGTCGCTGATGACGCTGGACGGCGGCTTCTTTACGCTGATCCTTGATCTCTTTGGATTTCTCCTTGATGTAGCGCATCTCGTTGCGCAGCGCCACTTTCTTCTCGAATGAGAGACGGTTCACTGTCTTCTTGATGTTGCTGAATCTGTCGTTGATCAAGAACAGCGCCGGATTAGGCTGTGGACATGTTAAGCAGTTGGGATGTGGTCGGACTTACTTTTGCTTGGGCGTCTTCCAGGGCCGATTGGATTTGGGTTGACCGCGCGGTATACTTGACTCGGGTTTGACCACCTTTTTGGCTGCGGGTTTGGCTTGTGTTGTGGGCTTTTTAATTTTCTTAGATTTAGAAGCATTCTTCTCTGTAATCGCTGCTGCAGTGTCTGCCTGAACATCCTTGTCTTCGGTCGGCGCCAAATCAGTTGATTTATCTGCCACATCTACATCAATGTCAATGGTGTCTGGATTATCCATGGTCTGTCGTTATTTAGAATCACAAACTAAAACAAAACACTGTATGACAGCACGTGTTTTTGGTGCTATCGATAACAGCGAAATGAACATATGCGTACTTATCGATAACAGCAAAATGAACATATGCGCATTTATCGTAGTAACTTAGCGTGCAGTGTTGTCCATTTAGCCATTTGACCGCCAGAATAAAGTTATGTCAAAAAAATAATTGGTTGGGTAACATTGGCAAACAATTTTAATTAATTTTTTAAAGAAACAAATGAATGAAGCTGAAAGGTTCAGCATAGTGTTTCGCCCATGTTGGACCTTAATTTATTTTTGTCTATCGATAGCTGGCGATAAGCGGATGTTATCGATGTGGCGCCAATCGCCCTACATTGAAGGAAATTCGGTTTATTTAAAAAAAACAAATTTATTTTACTCATCAATTTTACAAAGGCTTCGAATCTTAAACTGTGTAAATTGCTGTAACCCAGCGATTTTGGTTTGTTTTTTTTTTGTTTTTGTTTTGTTTTTTAACTTTGGTATTAATTTACATATTTACAGGCACACGGAAAGCAAGTCGAGCCACTTCCAGTCCATCTAGTCCTTTGCCCTCGTGTCATAGGTTGAGGTCGCATTCGCTTTTGTCGCACTATTTATGGCCAACAGCGCCTGATTATGTTGGTCAACATTGTAATGATAGAAGAATGCCTTGCTATGCTCGAATGTTGATATCATGATCGCGCAGGCTGGCGCCACTTTAAACAAACGCGGTCCGAGTCCTGAAAATACGCCCCGCAGCCCATTCAAGCGATAAATGCTTGCCATACGATCCATAACTGACCTGGTCGGCGTACTCTTAGGCGGATTATCTAGTGTGCGACAAATAATCGTAGCATTAGTATATCTGATTGCAACGGGCGGTAAAGCAAGTGGCCTACCTGTAAATATGAATTTCTCACCGAACTCGATTTGCTCATGCGTCTTAATTACATCAAATGGGGTGGTTATCGATGCAGCCACCTGGACAAACAAATGGATGCTAAAAGTATATACAGCTTGTGGTTTTTTGGATAAAGACTTACGGAGCCAGAAATGGCACCGGCGACAAAACTAAAGCCAAACGTGGGCTCGACAACATTAAAGCTGCTCTTGAGATATTCATAACAGGTCCAATAAATACCAGAGAAGGGCACATCGCGGAGTATGGTCGGCGGCAGGCCGCGCCATAGACCCAAAATACCCTGCGACTGCATCACCTGCCGTATGGAGCCGATCATTTCGGCGTTAGTCATCCTTTGCGATTGCATTTTGGTGCGTATCATTTCAATGGGGCTAACAAAGGTCACAGCCAGTATGCGGGCCGTAACGCCCGCCAGTAATGGCACCAGCATTGGAATGTCCCGGCTATATGGTGAACTCTGTACTGGCGCCAGGTACTTGTAGTGCAGATCGGTGAAACGTGCCTTGAACTGTTCGTAGGCCACAAAGTATATAATGGTTGAGGGCAAAGCCGAGATGAGCGTCGGACTCAAACCAGACCAGAGTGAGCCGATGCCTTCAGTGCGGCTAATTTTAATGAATGCATCCTGTGCGGGAAAAAAAAAAAAAAAAACAGAAACAGTTAGAAGCTCAAATTGTAGATTCGATATCGACTCACAATGGTGCCCGTAAAGTGCGAGGAGGAGGAGGAGGAGGAGGCAGAAGCTGGCGAGAGCTTGGTAAATGCATGACTAGACGTGGGCGGGGGCGTATTCGGACCGCAAGGACATATGTGATCCATGAGGCCGTTGCAATATAGGAAACATTTATTGGACAGCAGTGCCGATTGTTGTGCCTGCAAACGGGTCTTGATTACGTCCAAAGGCGTCACTGCAATGCGCACAGATTGTGATGAAATAGATAGAATTAGATATATATATACATATATATGCATATGTATGTATATCACTTACTAAAGCAGGCTGTTATCATGGCACCCGTGCAGGCGGACACAACCTGCTGCATAGGACGTATGCGAAATCTGGGATCTATCATAGTATACTTGGCCTGTGTTGTCTGGTTCGCCGGGGTCTCATAATTGGCCTCCGGCATGGTTGCGCTGGGTTTCATCCTGTACTCTGGAACTTTCTGTTTGACGCTTTAATTGGCACGTCCGTAGCCTAGTGTGAAGATTTAGTTTATATGTGCGGACTCTTTGCGCGTGTTTATTGTCATTTAATAGGTAGGACTTTTGAGCCCCTGATAAATACAAAAAAAAAAAAAACTGTTTTCCCACGTTAATGTGTGAGAGTGTGTCTGTTGTGTGTGTGTGTGTGTGTGCGTGCAATGTGTTTAGTGTAAACATATCGATAGTTGATCAGTACTATCGATGCAACAGCTGGTGCCATCACATCAGATCTGGCATTTACACTTGGCAATTGTGCACTCAATTCTGGTGTTGCTTTGTTCCTACAATTCTAGTATGTGAAAGCTTACCATAGTAGCATAATCTAAGGTACATATCGAAAGCTTACGCTGTAGCTACATATATAGTTGCCTTGAGAATATATAAAGTGTATACAGAGCTTATTGCCAATATGTATCGATAGCTGGCAGTATGTATCGGTATGCGTTAACTTATCGATATGTATGTGTTGTGGTTTCAGAAAGTCTATCGATATAAAAGCTAAACGCGTTGTGACAATGTTTGGAAGAGATTTCCGTTATGCTACATACCGGTATCCTTTAAATCAAGATTATAGCGAAAGAAGAACGATTTACTGTACTCAAATGCCGATATCATAATGGCACAGGCTGGCACAACTCGTAGCATCCTTGGTATAACGCCAACATAGAGCCCCCGTATACCCTGCTGGCGATATATCATGCTTAAGCGTGTAAACACCGACTGTTTGGCCGGAGCCGATGCGGTGGCAGCCGTGGTTGCGGAACCACCAGTGCCGCCTTTGCCCGATCCAGATGAATCCGAGTATAGCACATCCTGTCCCAGCTCAATTTGCGTATGTGTGGTAATTAAATCGAAAGGCATTGTCACCAAGGTGGCCAACTGTAAATCAAATAAAATAAAATTGTTTTGCAGATAAAAGACCGGCACGAATTGAATGCTAGTCAAACCCACCGCGCCGGAGGCTGCGCCCGTCACAAAGCTAAACCAAAACGTTGGCTCCGTCACATTGCAGGCACGCTTCATGGACTCGTAGGCAGCCCAATAGGTGCCCGAGAAGGGAGCATCTCGCATGACCGTGGGCGGCCAGCCACGCCACAATCCCAGCACGCCCTGCGACTTGATCAGCGAGCGCAGCACAATCCACAGTTCCGTATACGTTATGTAGCCCGACTGCATCTTGATGCGGATCATCTCAAGCGGCGTTATGGCCGTAACAACAACCGTGCGCGCACAGACACCCGATGCCATGGGCACCACAGACGGCAGTGTTAGACGTCCCTCAGCTGCCGTCTTGACCAGCTTCTCCTTGTCGCGATTGTCGGCAATGTTGGATGGACGCGGATGCCATATGTAATATAGATTCGCAAACGAATGCTTCAGATACTCGTATGTTAAAAAGTAGATAATGGTCGATGGCAGCGCTGAGACAAGCGTGGGACTCAGGCCCGACCAAAGTCCAAATACGCCGTTGCCGCAAATGATTTTGAGAAAAGCATCCTGCCAAAGATCACGAATATAAGTTACAAACGGCGGACAATACTATCACCTACCATGGCGCCGCGCAATGGACGCATATTGGCTGCATCCATCGCCGCACTCTTGGCCATGCAGTCGGCGGCATTCGGCTTGCAGACGTGCGTCATGAGGCCATTGTGAAAGACATAGCAGAGTTTGGAGACAACCGGACGCTTGCGCGACTGGCTTTGCGTCTGGGTCTGCACCCGCGTCTTAACCACCTCCAGCGGCGTCACTGGGGAAATGCCACTGCATTCGCTAGAATATGTATCACAGCGCATTTGTTCGCCGGCTACTCACCCACAAATGTTGTAATCAGTCCGCCAACTAATGCCGATATCACCTGCTGCATGGGCCGAATGCGATAGCGTGGATCCTCAATTAGCAGCGATGTCGGCAGACGCAACGGATCGCTGTCCACATCGAGCGGCTCGTGCTTTGGCTCTGGCTCCTCTTGCATTTTTGCTAGTTACCTACATTCACAAGGGTCATACGAAGAAATGAACAAAAAAGGCTTTTATAAATATGATTTATTATTATTATTTATTACTTTTTTTTAATTTTTCATGTAAAATGTGCAAAAGTGACGTACATACCCAGGCGTACGTATCGGAGGCGTACAGCTATATATATATATATATATATATATATTGATATGCGGCCCAAACACTGCTCTGAGCGGGCCAGCTAGCTCTTCAACATGCTCCTTCACGTCGCACCGTTCCAAAATAACGTTTGCTCATAACTATGCCAGTATATGGATCTAGACTACGGTAAGAGCGCCCAATATTATTACTTTCCAACGATCCGAGTTACCAAAAAAAAAAATGAGAAAAAAAATAACTAAACTGTGTCTCAGTATGTTACGATTTATATTTTAGATATTGACGACCCAGCCAGTGCACAGTTTGACACTAGACCCAAGGGCATCTGGACAGCTAAGTATAAATGAATATATCTATTTAATCTGATTGTAACAAAAAGTTACCTTCCAGCTGCAAGAATAACAATGGGCCGTAAACGAGCTATGCTTCAACTGGGCACAAATATGAAACACAATTTACTCCAGAGCTGCGTCAGATCAGAGATTCGAACAGCTCTCAATATGTTCTTTATTCCGAGCTTCAAAAAATTGTTGACCAAAGCGACTTCTTTGCAATCGATTCGGATTTTTTCTCTAAACTAACTTTAAGCTTTATTTAGAAATCTATTTGTCCCGACTAAGCTGAAATTTCCACAGTAGTTAACTTATCTGGAGGGCAATTCCACCCGCTTGTGTGGAAAAATCGCGAAAATCGTTTGTGAGAAACTTTTTGGCTTACCTTCCGATTGTGTTAAAATTCATTTTCAAAGATCTTTACGAGCATTTATCTTAAACGTGCCACGGCCAAGGCCCAGGCTATACCCCCTATGATCCTATCTAGACATAGATCGAAAATTCTCAACCCATAACTCGATCAAATCTCATCCGATTTTCACGAGGTTTAGTTTTTTGTTCATGGTTTGACCTCTAGATCAATTTGGCAGTTAAGTTTGGGGACCTTATTTTTGGTCGAAATTCATGTCAAATTTTACCCTGGACTTGGATCAATCCTCATGTAGACATGGGTCAAAATTTCCCATGCCCATAACTCGGTCAAATCTCATCCGATTTTCACGAGGTTTAGTTTTTTATTCATGGTTTGGCCTCTAGATCAATTTGGCATTTAAGTTTGGGGACCTTATTTTTGGTCGAAATTCATGTCAAATTTTACCCTGGACTTGGATCAATCCTCATGTAGACATGGGTCAAAATTTCCCATTCCCATAACTCGGTCGAATCTCATCCGATTTTCACGAGGTTTAGTTTTTTATTCATGGTTTGGCCTCTAGATCAATTTGGCATTTAAGTTTGGGGACCTTATTTTTGGTCGAAATTCATGTCAAATTTTACCCTGGACTTGGATCAATCCTCATGTAGACATGGGTCAAAATTTCCCATTCCCATAACTCGGTCGAATCTCATCCGATTTTCACGAGGTTTAGTTTTTTATTCATGGTTTGGCCTCTAGATCAATTTGGCATTTAAGTTTGGGGACCTTATTTTTGGTCGAAATTCATGTCAAATTTTACCCTGGACTTGGATCAATCCTCATGTAGACATGGGTCAAAATTTCCCATTCCCATAACTCGGTCAAATCTCATCCGATTTTCACGAGGTTTAGTTTTTTATTCATGGTTTGGCCTCTAGATCAATTTGGCATTTAAGTTTGGGGACCTTATTTTTGGTCGAAATTCATGTCAAATTTTACCCTGGACTTGGATCAATCCTCATGTAGACATGGGTCAAAATTTCCCATTCCCTAACCTCGGTCAAATCTCATCCGATTTTCACGAGGCTTGGCTCTTTGCTCATGGCTGGGCCTCCAGATCAATTTGGCAACAACATATTCTTGTTGTTTATTAAATATTTGAGAAAATGTATGTAACAAGCAGATGAAAATATCTGCCAGCCCATTAGGTATCCATATAGCTCCTGCCCGCCTGATCCTTTGTATAATCTTCTATACTTCGTGCCGACTAGAGAACTAGAACTAGAACTAACTAGAGAAAAAAGAAAAGCTAGATAAACCGAAAACTTAGGTTTGGTTCGAGGTTCGGCGTGACATTGGTTCGAAGCGTGATTTGAACCAGCGAAAAGTTCTATTGGGCTTGCCAGCCAGGATTCCACATTCCTTGAATTATAATAATAGAAGCCCTGCCCTGGAACCCAACGAGATATAAAACAGGCAATAGTACGACAAGAAAATAATAACATTTAATTGCGTGAATTATAAATATGAATTAAATTAATCAAATTTAATAATAATTTGCATTACACTTAAGTTATTACAGTTAAGTATGAGTAGTAAGTCAGTATTTATATATTTTAGCAAAAACGAAAAAAAAAAAAAAACGTGTAATTATTTAGGCCAATTCTGAATTCTATTTTGTTGAGCCCAAAGTCAACTTTGGGAAACTGCGATGATTTTCTTCTTTCATTCTTTTTTTTTTTTTTTAGTATGGTGCTAGAAATACGCTGGACATCTGTTGCGGATAGGTTGATATCGTGTATTGCGGGGTATATTGCTGGAGAAGATGCCGTCTCTGGCTGTTCACTTGTGCGCAATGGGTATCAAGGTTTCGCCGGCAGTGAGCGCTGGCAAGGGCGCGTCCACGGTTAGGACACCATCCTTGCTGAGGGACGAGCGTATCGACTCGGGATTAACGCCCTTGGGCAGCAGAAATTCACGATTGTATTCCCTGTAAACGCTCTTTGTGTCTGATTTCTCCTCGTGCTTGGCATGCACCTGGAAACAAGCAGAAAAACCAAATTATCATGCAGTTGAAATATGTTATGTGATATATATATATATATATATATATATATATATATACAATAATGGGCAGTTCCAGCTAGCATATAACTCCAGACACGCAAAATACCTCTTAAAGTTTAGTAAAACGAGTATTTTGGTTTTGTGCAAATGTATGTAACAGACTGAGAGAAGACGCTGATGAACTTCGGTGCTTATAGTCCGATCTTTTTAATATATATATATAGTCTATGTGCCAAGTTTGTTTGCCTCAAGCTCTTTTAAGCTTTGAAAAAATGATTTCGATAACGATTTTATGGCAGCAGAGGCATGTTATCGATATCGATATTTAACAGTTAAAGTCTTTCTCAGACAAACTAAGATATGTCTAGATCGAATCGGCTTTTGATGGGAATCAATAAAGTCTCCCCTTGCCTGTCAGATTTCCTCTGCCCTTCAAATATATATATATATATATAAGTATATTGTATTTGTAGTTAGGCTTACAAGCAGCTTCTGATCGACAGTTTTGACGACAATCTCCTCGGGCGCATATTGGCTGACATCGAAGCGCAGCTTCAGCACTTTGTTGTCGCCCTCATCCTGCAGGAAAGCAAATTTATTAGATGATTTGGCGTTACTTGTATAGATATTATAGTACGTACCTGTATCAAGGGCGAGCTAATGTCCGACACATAATTCTGTTGCTTGGGTACGCGTGAGGGCAGCGCCGAGTTTGTCGTTGAGCTGCAAGCATAATTTTTGGTTAAAACCAGAATTAGTTGAACATAATAACACGTACAAAGGGTAACATATCAAAATAAAAAGGTTAGATACAATAATCATCATCACCTTGAGCTGGTTTTTGTTGTTGTAGTTGTGCGGAAAGTTTTGTGAAAAGTGCGTGTGAATGCATCCATTTTTCTGTGCTTGCTTTTCTTTTTTGGAATTTGGTATTTGAAATGAAAACCGCTGCCAAACGCGCTTCAAATGCAACTGAAAATGCAGCTAAGCCGCGCATTTTTACAGTTACAGCTGCACAAAACCTAACCTCAAATTTATATAAATAGCTCGGATTTCCGCTCGGGAGCAGAGTCTATTTATAATTTGTTAAAGCAGCTGCGCCAAGAAGGGGCTGGCTCACATGTCAAACCAAGTAAGCATTTATATACATATGTATATATAAATAGGTTTGATCTTTTATATGTCTGAAGTGGAGATTTTCCCTTGCTCACGCATGAGAGCACATATATAATCCTTTACTCTCTTTGTTTAACTTTTAAGAGAATCCTGTTCATAAATCTATATTATATATGTAAATCGTTCCAGATACCATTTCAGCAACTTTTCTGCTTGAATTTCAGTTTTTTTTTTCTTCAGACACAATGGGCACACTTTTTTGGCAAAGGTGCCAAGATTTTTGAGTTAAGGAGAGAGAGAGAGAGATAGAGAGAGGGGGGAGATATTAGAAATAATTGACTTTTTTATAGTGCTGGAAAAGTTGAATGTTTTGGCATTACGCAACAGAAACTATACAAAGTTGATTGAACTTTTGAAGAACGAAGCAATAAATAAATTCTAAAACACCTGCCAAATATTTCACACACAATGTGTGTATTTATATAATGTGCGTGTGTGCGTGTGCATAGTTTTCAAAAATGAATTTGTTCAACCTATTTTTTTTTTTTTTTTTGAATGACAAACACACGAATCTGTCAGTCAACACAGTGTGCACAAAGTACATAAAAAATCAGTAAGTGTTTACCAACACATGTACGCTCATGTGCATATTATTAACAATGTCGCAGCAATATATTGATTTTTAAAGTCTACAACATAACACATACATATGCACATATATGTAAACAAAATATAAATAAATAACTGAAGATTGTACACAAAATGAATTTCCATAAAAAAAATCATTAGCATTTTCATAGAGCATAATACCTGGTTGTAGTTGTTGTTTTTTTAGTAGAGCTTTTCAAGAGGAAAGTTGTTATTGTAATAAAGAGATTTATATATATATATATATATATATATATATATATATATTGTATGTATGTATGTATTTTAATTGCGGTTGATTTTATTTTCCAAAGCAGCATGTAAAGGTTGTACAGGAAGAAAGAAATAGAGAGAGAGAGAGAGAGATAGAGATATATGTATACAAGAGCTTGTCGTTAATAATTGAACTGTACATTTAGTACTTTTTATGGTTGCAAAAAGGTATCATACACACACACACACTTACACACTCACACACAAATTAAATTTGAGCAACGCAGACCAATGAACCGTAATTGCCAGCGGAGAGCGCTGACCACGCACGCCGCACAAAACTAATACAAACGCATAAATACGCACTCACACACACACACACACACATGCACGTCGCTGCCGATAAGCGTGCCATTGGCTGGCAACTGTAAACGTGCCCGAAGCCGACCTTGCTGGCTGGCAACGTGCAACCGTTAAATGCAACCAACAACAATAACAGGCAATCAAAATAAAAGCTCACCCTGCCACCGTGTGTGACTAATCGTAGAAGCCGTTAATTCGTACCTTTGGCTATTGGTTACACGCTAATGCAGCCACAGCAGGGACGCGCGGGCGACGGACAGCTGTAGCACACCTGCCGGAACAGCAGTCGCTGAAGCCAACATGCCGCTGGCTAGCCAAAAAAAAAACACACACACACACAGGCACATATACGTATGGGCGCTCTCTTACACACACAGGCAGCAGCGACTCGACGTCGGCACACGCTCAAATTTGCAGCTCGCTAGCTTCGCGCTGGCGCTGATGATGTCATGCATATTTTTCGTTATTCGTTATTGTTATTGAAAAAAAAAAGAAGCTCTGCGCGCAGAAATCGAACGAAAATGTATGAAGAAGAGCCTGTACATGCGTATGTATGTATGCATGTGTATCAAGTGTCAGACGAGGCGACGCTGTCGTTAAGTCGTTAAGCCGAGTGCAGTCGACAACAGCAAACTTGACGAATGCTAATCGATAGCCAATTGCTGTTGATCATCGCCACCGGCAACAACAACAACAACAACAACGATTACAAGTGTCATCGATTCTCGTACAGGTCAGAGGCAGCCGCTTACGAAACGTTTGTGCTAAAAATTTGCATGATATCATCTGGCTATTGCTTATTATCGTCAGCATCAGTTGCATCACACGGCTAAATAAATTGGCAGCACATAAATTAACAGACTTATATGCCCATTTCATATATACACACACATGTACATACATCTATGTATGTACATATATACTGTGCACAGTGGGACATGAACATTTACACCCACGCACATGTGAATTAAATTCAATTATATTGTTTACAGTAGCAATTCGTATAAATCGAGAGAGATCTGTTACGTTCAAAATTATGATATATAGCACAATGATTAGCCACAAACTGTGTGTGCGTGTGTGTGTACTTAATCTCGCCATAAACAGCTTTACGCTAAAGTCGTAATAGCGAGTGCAAGTAAATAGATACGGATTGCGGTCGAGACATGTTTTCTATTTATTATTTGCATAAACAAACATGTCTAATTTTTTACAGCCCGACTGCATTGTCGATATAGACTATATGTAATTGGCAGATCGCCCGCAATAGAATTGCGATAAATCGCCCTGGAATCGTATAGAAAATCAAACAATAAGGCAATGACAGTTTCAATTTGGTCAAGTACCATTTAAGCCTAAACAAAACTGTACGAGTGAATAAATCGAATTTACATGCTATGCCAGGATCGTGTAAACACACACACACATACATATACAGCTATATATGCATTTACATATGTCTGCGTGTGTGTACATGTGCATGCGCATTGACTATGGCAGTACTGGAAGAAAAAAACAAAATCAATTAGTTGCCTTTTTGTTTAGGTTTGTCGAGCCAGATGACGATGACGTGATCGGTTATTTTTAAACAGCCGCCAAACAATTCATTATATATGCATATATTTTCTATTTCATTTAATTTCAGCTAACAGCGCAGCTGTCCCGCTGTGTGCCCTACGAGAGGCACGACCAATATTCGATAGCAAATTGACGAATTGAGTCATCGCTTCGAGCACCCCCGCCCCTGCCCCTGCCCATCTCTAATGGCCCACACACGTAGCGACATTTGGACAGCGTGAAGAGCCTTGCAAACATTCGGTTGCATTGCCATGGTTTTTTTTTTTGGTGCTCATCGAAACATAATAAACAAAAGCAAATTTTTGTTTAATTGCAGTTTGACAAAACTTTTGTTTTGCACGCAATATAACGGCAAAATTGAACTATCCTAAACTTTTTGCTTAGAAAGTTTCGTTGGGTTTTTGTTGCTGTTGCGCGCATGCAAATGCACTGAAGGAAGACAACAAAACAGAGAACAACAACAAATCGCTTCGATTATGTCATTGCCCATGGCCGAAGCTGTGTTAAAAGGCACTGAAAACCATTCGCGGCGAATGATTTTCGAATTCGCCCTCAAGTGGCGCCCACGCGACGCGACCGCCGACGTCGCCGTCGCCGCCGCAAGCAGATTGGAAAGGCCAGCGAGGCGCAACCGCGACGGCGACAGTCGCTACGTCATTTTGCTCTTCACAGTCGCAGACATGCATGTGTGTATGTGTGCGTGTAAGTGTGTACACACTATGTGTGTGCTGTGCCTAGTACATATTTTTGTTTTCTTTCAAATTTTAACGGCCGCCTTCACATTGTCTGTTTATTTAGTAAATATTTGAATTATATATTCACGTCTACATGCGAGTCTGTGTATGTGTGTGTGTGTGTGCGTGTATCTGGCAAGTATGCCAGATTTTTGCGGCTGCACGAAGAAAAAAAAATTCCGTTACGCCACATCTCATAACGTGTGCTAAAAACTGTTTTATGTTGCCCATCTTGCTTTCTCTAAATGCAACCATGGGTTACCGTTACAAGGCAGAGTTGCATTCTGAGACAACACAACAAATACACACATATTTATAAATATTTCTTTCTGCTGGCAAAACAGCCGAAAATTGATCAAGTCGAAAGTATTTAACAATTTTGAAATATGCGCAAGTGGCGCGGAGAGGGTGGCCCAAGAAAATGGCAAGACAAATGGAAAACGTATGCATACTATATACATACATATTTAGTGGCCGTGTTGGAAGAGAGCCAGGGGGGGGGGGGAGGGAGGGTGGTTGCGGCGTGAAAAACCAATGTGACTCATTCCCCCCCCCAAAAAAAAACAATTTGCTAAGGCAAGAAAATGTGTGCGAGTATCTGGGGCATTCAGCGATGTGTTTTGGCCTTAGAACCCATACGTAATCCAGCCATTCTGTCGGTGCCAATGATAATGATGATGATGATGATGACGAAGATGATGATGATGATGATGATGACGAAGATAATGTTGCTAGCCATGGCATGCCTATTATTAGATGGAAATTTCGGGATATCCTAAACAGCACGTAACGTTCCCATGAAAACTAGAGTTCAGTATCGTTTTCATTATCTGGTATAGTTCCATATAATCTGAGTTGTTGTTTCTTCAGAAATTTTCACTTGACAGCAAGTTAAGATCTTTAAAGTTTGTGTTCCATGTACAAATTTGAATAAATGTCTGTTTGAAATAGGTTTTTTTTTTTTAAATCTATTTTTAAAGCTGTCGATAATTGAGTATGAATGCATTTTAGCTGAATTTTTCGTAGGTTTCGTATTGAATTTTCTTTAAATACAAATCTTTCTTTGGCTAAATTATTCGATAATTGGTATTTCCAAATCTTCTGCAAATTCAGCAATATTTCTTTCGAAACTTCGAATTTTTAAGTTTTATTGAAACTGGACAAGTAAAAATTGATTTCATATAGCTAGGAAATCTTAGAAAACTTGTATCTTTATATTTCTTTTGCCTTCAGCAAATGCTCTGGAAATTTCTTTGCAAATTACGACCAAGAAGGTTGTGTTTAAAGTTTAAACGTTAGCCAACACTCTTTTAGCTACAGTTATGTTTTAACGTTGTATCTCAAGCCAAATTCGTGCTTATATCTTTTAATACGAAAAGAAGATCAAGAAGATCTGAGAAATACTCAGACCTGAATCTTATCTAGATAAACGTCGCTGAATAACCTGGCTAGAAACAATGTTAACAAGATCCAAGCACACTCTCACACACACACACACACACACACACACACACGCATTCAAGAGCACGCTCAAAAAGCTACATATAAAATAATTCCGATTGGAAAGCACATTTGCTAATTGGACACCTACCTGGTTGACTCGAAGAAATTGGCCTCGCGGTTCATCAGCTCGTGACGGAACTTGGCCATCTCCTCCTCCATTTTACGCATCTCGGAATCGAAGCGTTCACGTATGCTGCTGAATTCCGTATCGATAACGCTGAAGTCGCCCAATTTGATGGGAATATTTCTCTTATTAGACTCGGCCATTTTTGTTTTTTTTTGTGTTTGTGTGTGTGTGTGTTAGATAAATCTAAAAAAACTTCTTGCGCTTGCTGCTGCCGCTGCTTCTGCTTTTTTGCTTCGGGTTGTTTTCACGCGCACCGCTGCTTTCTTGTGTTTGTTCCAATTGGACTTGGTCAGCTTGTGCTAGTGTGTGCGTTTATATATATATTCACTTTCTAATCAGAACCAAAAAAAATCACAATGTATTCTTTTTATGTATTGTTTTGTATATATATATATGTATATGTGTGTGTGTGTGTATTTGATTGACTCGTGTCGCACAATTCAACGCGTTTCAAAGTTTTCTGTTTGACTGTTTTGCATTTTCGGCGTGTGGACGCTTTTATAGCGCGGCGTTACACCGCGGCCGCAACCACACGAGAACAGCAGTGAGTGAAAAGGAAGAGAGAGAGAGAGAGAGAGCGCGCGCGTTGTGAAGCCAAGATGGCAGCGAGTGGCCGCACTTGCACCCACACACTGACACGACTTGCTCTCTCCATTGACCGCGCTCGCTCTCTCAGGCCGGCAAAAAGCAAGTGAATGACTTGCGATGTGCGAGCGTGAGTGGGCCTGCAAGTGTGTGGTGTGAGGCAAAACATTTTCAAGTGTTACTCTCGTGAGTGCCCTACCTTGAAGTCTGTGACGGTTTAGTCATGCATTTTGTGACGATCTTCTACTAATACGTACTCTTGGTGCAGGTTTGCAAGCGCGAATAGCAGGCATATATATATTTATCACTAAGGTAAAATACAAATATTCTTAATTTTTGTATCTTTATAATCCTATCCGTCATACATATATATTGGTTGCTTATGTAATGACTTTCACAGCATATGTAGATAGGGAAGGGTATTCTCTAGGCGCATTGCATCTCAATGCTAGATAAGTTTCTGCCAAAGACAGGACTCTTTTTATTCGTTCAGCCGCTAAATTTATGAGTGTTTGTATATATTTTACGAAAACTGTTTATTTTTTGGAATTTTTTCTTATGTTAAACATTTTTTATAATCAGAAGCAATTAGCTAGTTAGTTGAAAATGTGAACATGACATCAAATTTATGAACATGCATTTCTAAAAAAAAGCAAAAAAGAAATAATAATAATATATTTATGTATATATGTATGTATTATAAACAAATCGAATAGCCGCAAGCGGCTAAAAATAGACAAACAGTTATGTGGCTAGTGCCGCCATTGGCAGTTGTCTCTTTTGCGCACAGATCACATTGTGGGTGGAAGTGTAACCGGTAACGGCAATGTCAACCGGTTTGAAGCTTAACTGACGCTTGCCGTTTTAGGGCAAAGAACGACACATTTGGAGCCACTTTGTAACTTCCAGCTATGTGGTTTACGTTCTAAATACATGCGCCTGTGTGTGTGTGTGTGTGTGTGTGTGTGCGTGCGTGTTTGTGTTTCGCACACAACACGTGGGCGGCAACGTTGGCGACACATTCCCATTAATATTTGTGTGTGTCGCGCAGCGTTTCGATTTGTTTGTAAACAAATGAAAACCGCGATGAGTAATCGATGACATTGTGCAGCAGCATCGCATGCGCCATACATATCGAACGATATCGGGCTTGTCCTTTTACGGTGTGGCAACGTTGCGCAGGAGTCATCAGCCGCAGGGCGCAATTATGCAAAGCAATTTGAAATATTTGAGCAGTTGTCACGAATTAAAGAGAAAAACAGAAACCAAGTAATACAAAAAACAAGTCGAATAAAATATGGCTAATAAAATAAATTCAATCATGAATTACAAAAATAAAATAACAATCATCGCGGCAGCGCCCACATGGATTGGATGCTGCGGCGCGGCCGTTAATGCCGCTCTGTCCAAACAATAAACTCATTTTCATCCAAATCGTCGACCTTGAAGGCGACAAAGATCTCGATCTCGGCTAAGACTGTGCTGCTCGCATTAACGCACACATCTATACATGACCCGTATGTGTGTGCATTGGCAATATGCGAAGCGCAAAAAGCGACTAACGTTGAAATTAAGAAAAACAAATTTCCCATAGCATCGTCGAGAATGTTCATCTGCATCTGTCTCATATAGATTTATGAATATACTTAAATACAGTAAAAGCTGACTTGGGTGAACACTGTGATTCTCTATGCTGCTAACAAAAATTCATCTCTTGTCCAAAACAAAAAAAAAAAAAAAAATCTAACGGTACTCCTTTTCATGGGTTGGCAGAGGTTGAATAGAAACGCAAATTGGTTGCCCAACACTGGTTCGTTAGTCGAGATTTCGACTGTGTGCCGTTATACATACACAAGCAAAGGTATTTTAAGCGCAATTTTCCACTGATTTTCCGCGCAGTCGCCCTGTGCCGGGACAACTGCAAATCAATCAAAATTCGCTCGCGATGATTTAGCATGGAATTTTTGGCTGATGTATAATACGCCAATTATTCAACTAAGGCAAATGGATCTTATGCGTGGGCGTCAACGCTTGACGACAGCGTTTAAATACGTATGTGTCAGCGGACAAGGTGCGGGCGGTGGCAGGGGCAGGGGCGGGGGTCTGGGGCAAAGCATGAGCATTTGGCAAGCAAAACTAAAAGTGTTTCGACAATAATATGTAATATCTATGTGTGTGTGCAGATGTTGGCATATTTGTGTTGTCATAACTTCAAACATTCCTTATGCGCATTGAAATATTTCGAAATGAAACAAATGAGCACTAAAAACTATATATGTATAAAAATGTGGGCGCTCTTAATTGTGGGTAGAAACAATATACCTTTTGATCTGTCGTATATTCATTCATAATAATATAGAATGAATCACACAATATATATATATATATATAAGTGTTATGTAGAATGTTCTCGATCATTGTTTATCTTCAGTTTTTTAAAGTGTAAGTTCTTAAGTGCACGTGTTAATGCTGTTATACTATTGCTATTTGCATTTTGTTTTATTCGATTAAGCTTATTTGGTGCATACAAAATTGTTTTTTGGCACTTAAATCATTTCGACTAACGTAAATTCAAATCTAACGGCAGCGCCCCAATTTAAATAAAAAATATATAGCTGGTCACACTGCGCATTGATTAAATTAACATGCCACGTATTTAGTGTTGTAAAACATGTTAACAATTATCGATTAAATCGCAGCAACGCTGTGCATTTTACACTGTGGAACACTTTTTAGCTGTCTGCCCTGCGTTTGTGTGTGTGTGTATGTACATTGTCAGCAAGAAATATAAACAATTGCAATAAAATTACTAAAAAACTGAACAATTTTAAGCATAAAAGTGTTAATTGCCTGCTAGTTAAGCTGTCGTATACACTGAGCAAAATGAACGCCTACTACACACTGTACTCGGGCGACAACTATGACGACGAGTCGATTGGTGATGAACGCAGCGAAGAAGGTAAGCGCAAACGAGGTGCTGGCTGCCGCCGCGGAGGTGGCAAGGGCTCAAGTCGGCCGCCAGTCCGCCAAAAATCGAATCTAAACGCAGTCGAGTCTCAACCATGGAACGTTTCACAATTCCAGATACTGACGACGCTAGCGAAACGGAGTTCCGCAGTCCGCATCGCTATGGCGGAACCAACGGCAACTCTTCCAACAATAGCAACAACAACAACAACAACAACAACAACATCAGCAGCCACAACAACAACAATAACAACAACAACATCATCATCAACAGCAACAACAACAACAACAACATTGGCAGCAACAGCGAGCTCAAAGAACAGTAAGTGATATCTGAAAAAAAGCTAGCCGAACATTTTCCGCCTGTTTTTCACACTGGCAAGTGGAATCAATCAATGCAGGCAAATACTGACAATTTCAATTGATATTCTCTTTTTTTGTTTTGCAGAATGTACCAGCACAAGCTAATTAATCTGCAGAAGCAGCTGGAGGAGCTGAATCAGCTGATACATCCGGAATATATGAAGCGTGTACGCAAGCTGGACAATCAGCTAAAGGAGCGTCGACGTCTGAACGAGATCTACAAGGATTATATGCGCGAATGCGTCGAGCGCGACTATATACTGGAGAAGAAGGCAGCCCAAAAGGAGTTCGACGAGAAGATGATGGATCTCAAGGATAATCTAATAGCTGACTTTGAGGATCGCAAACGACAGATCGAGAACGAACGCTACAGCCTGGAGCTGACCAACGATTCGATGGAGATCAAGACAACGGTGACGCGCAAGCTGCGTCGTCGGCCCAACGAACCGCTGCCGGTGATCGAGAAGCGACGCAAGCCCGCCACCGGCCAGCTGTTGGTCTATCAGCTGGATGACAAGGAAATCGAATCGGATCTCAAGATGATACAGCGCGGCAAACCGATGCCGCTGCAACAGAACGGCATGGGCTCCTACACGAATACCCAGCAGCAGCAGCAACAGCAGCAGCAGCAGCAGGCACACAACCTGCTGGCCGAGTCGAATAGCTATGTGGAGACACGCATCGAGGACAACAAGCTGCTCTACGAGCGCCGCTGGTTCTGTCGCGGCCAGCAGATCTATGTTGAGGGCAAGGACATGAACAAGTTTGCGGCCACCATCACAGCCATTGGCAACGAGGTGGTGCGTATTTCCCAAACAATCTCTTAGCCTGCTTACACTCCATGCCCAGCAGCTGACAGTCAGACAGAACTCGTCCGAATCTTTTCCACTCCATTCAGGCTTTCAGTCAGTCTGCAGCACAGAGCATTTGACACGTTGCTTCTTCCTGTGCCCAGGCAAATCAATCTTGAGCTTGAGCTTAACCAATATATAGACACAGCTCCACAAGGTTACCCTACCCTAATCCTCACTTTCCACATAACTGAGCCTATTCAAAGTATCTGGACTATTTCTGACGACAGCTTGGCTGCAGGGTATCATTTGGTTTGGCATTGGTTTATATATTAATCTCGTTTTTCAACTCTCTTCACAGATTTGGGTGAAGCGCTCCAATGAAAGCAAATTCAAGATCAACATGTCGCATTTGGCCAAGGGCAAAATCTGCATAAAGCGACGATAGTCCACATATATCCGCATATATATTTAAATGATGTACCATTTACGCTTTAGCTTAAGTGTACATTTTATTTTAAACAAATTGTATATAATTGAGAAATTGCTTTTGTTATCCATTCAGTCCGTGTGCAGCTGTGCTTCTTGTGAAGCCCCAGCCCCCGAAATTCTTCCATTTGTTTACGCTCCGCTCCGCTCCGGTTTCCAATGGCTGTGCAAATATTTGGAAAGGCTTTCGGGCTCGATTTCGACTTCTGCTGGCATTTTGTTTATTGCTTTATCGAGCATCGAATTTCCTGGGAAAACTAATTGCATAAAGTTCGCCCTTCTCTCGACATTCAAAGCTGGTTCTCGTAGCTGCCATTTGCAAGGGTATTAAATCAGCAACAAGGCGTGTTCGCCTTTGCGAGCGTCCACTGTACACGCGATTCGGCCAGCTCTCAGCGAGAAAAGCGCGCGTAACTCTTTGCAGAAAGAAAAAACATTTAAAAAAAAGAAAGAGGAGACGAATAAAATTCTTGTTTCACTTTGCGCTTGCTTTATAATTTGTCGTATTGCATTGCTGCAATCTTTTGCTTCATAATACAAAACATTCACACAATTTCTGTTTGTTTTTTGTTGTTGTTGGGTTAGTTCCAGAATGGAACTCGTTTAAATTTAAGTTGAATAAAAAAAAACGCTGTCTAGTTGCGCGAGCCACGTCCAAAGCCGCCACGGAACTCGACCTCACCGGCGCCGGGTCCGACATCGCCCTTCTTGTCCACACCGCTGCCGCCGGGTGCGCGTCTGTAGGCGGAACGATCTTCGCCCGTTTTGGAGGCATCGGCTGGGCCGCGTGGTCCACCAGCCGCTGGGCGTGGACGCAACGGTTCCGAGCGTGTCGGCCGCTTCAAAGTGGAGGGCACAATTTCGGGCGGCAAATGCAGATAGCTGCGCAGCTCCTCAATGCCCTCGTTGGTCAGATACCAGTAGTAGTGCCTCCATGCGAACTGCTCCTTGACGAGACCGCGCGAGTGCAGCGATTGCAGTGCCTTGATGACATGCAAATTGGGTATCGACTCCAGTTCGGGATGCTTCTGTGCATGGAAATCCTTTTTGGCCACAATGACGCCCTCCTTGAAGAGGTACTCATAAATGGCGACACGATGAGCCTTTGGCATGAACATGCTGCACGTAACGAAAACAAAAAGATAAAAAAAAATATATAAACTTATTAGAACTTGTGTTGTTGTTGTTGTGGTTCGGTTTGTTCGGGTCTTGTTGACAAGACGCTGTGCGACATTTAAATGTCAAAATAATTGGCAAACTTCAATAATAATGCACATAACACGTATATTGACAGCTGTTGCGTTTCACAGCGCATTCACTGCAATTTCATTTAGCTAAACACTTTGGCGGATTCGCAATTATTTTACAGATTCTTTTTATATATTTCACGTACTTTGCGTCTTCTATGGAGCAGAGACCGGAAAGAAAGGAAAAGCGAGTTGACAGCTGTCAGCTCTCATATTCTTCTTCTTTTCGCAATACACACAGAGCTGCACGGCGCGTGTACACGCGAATGGTAGCTGCAGAGTTGCTTAGTGGCTGACAGTATGGTCACTCATAATATCACGCTCTATATATATTAATAAATAAAAATTGTCATATCTAGAAATCTAGGCTTTAATAATCTGCTAATATAACAACTGTAAGCAGTTAACTTTTCTGTGTGCTTTCAGTCAAATATGTTTGACATAACAAGATGACGTCACTATTGACAGAGCTTTGCTGTTCTAGCTGTAAAAAAACTACCCTGAAAATATTAATGAGTTTGGTTTGATTTTATCGATTAACGCAGCTATCGATAACTGTTATTGTACTATCATATATTGGCGCGCGTTTTTCAAATTTAAATTTAGCCGCGAAATTAGCCAAGTTTTAGCCGTGCCTATACCTAACACTGAAACTTTTGACCAAAGTCTATATATCTTTGGAGAATTTGCACAAAGATTTTTGAAAATGAATGTAAGGCAGATCCAAAATCCGATTTTCTCACTTGTGGGTCGAGTTGCATAAGGTAAAAATTGTGAGTTTTTTATTACATTATGAATTTCACACTAATCAATAAAATGCCAACAATATTGTTTATGATCGGCTTTAAGCAGCGATAGTCGAGTTTACAACATAAGTTTATCAAGTACATTCAGTTACCAAGCGGCTCTGTTCGACAGCTTCAGCAACAACAAGCTGCTCGAAAATAGTTTATCAGCAAAGCAACTACTTAAGTAGCCAATTTATTTAGATATGGGTTCGTTTATAACTGACTTTACTTTAAATATTGCACTTTTCTTCTACTTATCGTAGGAAATCATTGGCCTTACTTGAAATCGTCGATTAGATTGTGTAAAATTGTATTTTATTTTACTTGTTATTAGTAAATATTGTTTACGAATTCGCATGAATCATCGTGCGATGACAATCTTGACCATTTGGGTCTTTAAAATTGAGTTAGCTGGAATTGTTTTTGTTTATGCCAAAATGTTTCTCAGAAACACGTGCAGCGCAATCTAACTTTCGATTAGATAGCCAAGGCTGAGCATACCATAATTTTATGGCTCTAATGTATCCGAATTCCCAAAACAAATGTATGAACAAATAACTAACATTGTAACTCTGATAACACATAATAACGGTATTAATATAATGTTAGGTTAGGTAATGTTTTCCAGTCTCAAAGGTCGATTGGACTTCGGATCCCAGAATATCCCAATGCACAGCAGACTGATTGTTATTGGGCCAATAAACTTTGATTCCAATCATCCAGACAACTTTTAAGTACCGGATTAGATTAGCATTAGCCAATACGTGCGGGCACATCACGATGATGGCCTATATTTGGCTTTTTATTTAACTATCAAAGTATAATATAATAAAATTATTTGCTTTGCTCGGTTCAAGTTTTGAACTTTAACAGTTAGCTCAAGTTGGTTAGATTTTCTTTTAAGATTCTTCTTCCGTTGTGTTGATTTTCCAGTGTTTTTATAGTTATTTCCTTTATTTTATTTGTTTTTAAAATAATTTTTAGTCTAATCCAACAGTTCTCAGCTTCCACTCAATCAACCTTGAGCAACAACTTTCACCTAGGCAGGTGGATTTGCCAGAAGCGGTGAAATCCTTCTCAAAACTATCTTGCTACAAAGAACTTTCAAGCGGAATTTTAAAGAATGGAAAACTAAACTTTTTCTAAAATCGTTCCATCTATTTTTCACGCTTTAGAATTCACCGTGAAAAGTGAAAGTGAAAGTGTGGTTAGATCAATCAATCAATTAGCCTAGGACTTTTGATAAATGTTTTTATGTGGAAGAACGTTTCTTGCATCGAGTATACACGCACCGGAGATGTAAACATATGCCAGGTGTAGTCAGCAGAGCAGGGAAAAGCCCACCTGGTTGGCACCTTGAACCTATGACGAAGAGAATGCCCCTGGACACTGACTGGCGGCTGCTGCTTAATAATTAGTCAGCGATTTACGATTCGCGATTCACGCATCGGTTTTCAAATCGGGCGGCACGACGAGGCCGGGCGAATGCTGTCTGTCGCAGCGGTCTAATCAATGGCCAATTATTGATTAGGTTCTGACGAATATTGTTAAGTTCCAAGCAAATCCAGGCTAAATCTTATCGCGGCTTTGCGCGAAACGTATAAAAGGTAACGCAGCGCATACAAATCCGATTAAAGACCGCTGCAATAGCCGTGGAAATGTATAAAATTGGCTTTACGCTTTTGCTGTGCGTCCTGGCGGGCGCCGGCGCCCAGTTCCTGGACATTGATCGTTATCAGCAGCTGTTGCAGTTGCGCCCTCTGGCGGTAGAGTTTATCGATTATTATCGAAACATAACGAGCGGCGATCTGTTAATACCCGGCACAGGGCTGCCCAATCAACAGGATCTGCGATGCTTGGCCGAGGTGGCAACGCTCAGCCAGGGCGTGCAAACGGGCAGCATTTGGGCGCTGCGCAGTAAGTGGCATTCGGTTGCGCGCGTAACTGTTTAACTGTCTAACTGTAATCCACACTCTGCCTCTCTACTTCTCTTAGTGATCGACTCTTGGGGCCGTTTGCCCGCGGGCATACTCTATGGCAATCGGAAGGATCTGGGCAACTTTGATGAGTGCATCAGGGTGAACCAGCTGGTGGCCAGCACGGGTCACAGTCTGCGCGGCAAATACTGCATGGCCAAATTGTTGTCCGGCAACATGTTGGGCGGCAATGCCGGCGCCCTGGGCATGCTGAGCGTGCAGACAGCGATTTGCCTGCCCGCCAGCTGCACGAGCGAGCACATGGAGACGCTGCTCCGACAGCTTTTCAAGCAGCTGCTCAACATTGAGCTGAGCACCGAGACGCAGCTGATCAATGCCGCCAACTGCCAGACCGCGGAGCGTGAGTCTCTTGATGGTCTGGCCATATTTACCATGTAAGTATTGCCAAATGCTGCACTGCATCCATTCATTCAGCCAGCTAATGCATATGCCCTTGCAGCGTGCTCATGTGTGTTCTGGTCGCTGCCCTGCTGCTGGCCACGCTCTACGATTACTTCCTGTGCGCGGATCAGAGTGAGTAGCTAGGCATAATCCCGTTGCTGCCGTGTCTGAACGAGACGTTCTCCTTGCAGAGCATTTGCCCGCCTTGGTCAAGGTGTTCTCGGCACGTGCCAATTCGCGCACGCTCTTCCGCATTGTGGACAGCAAAACGAATCCGAATGTCATCGACTGTCTGCACGGCATACGCTGCCTCTCGCTTATCTGGGTGATTTACGGCCATGACTATATCTTGCAAGGCATATCGCCCAATATTAATCTGGTGGATGTCATACCGGTTGGTTGCAACGCAACATCAACTATTGCCCATATTGGCCAAACTAATCTGCATTTTTCATATCCTTTCCAGTGGTATCGCTCGCCCTTCAGCATGTTCATTATGCACGGCCTCTTCTCCGTGGACACCTTCTTCTTTCTCAGCGGCCTGCTTGTCGTTATGGTTGCCCTGCGCTCCATGGAAAGGTAACTAACTGTCATATATAGTAAATTTCCCGAATCGAAAATGAATTCGGCTCAGAGTTCGATTTAATGGCATGTCTGGCTTAGGTCGGGGAAATCTCCCGGAATTCAAAAAAGACTTTAAGGGAAATTCCCCGAGCTAATACGTTAGGCAAAGAATTTCGAAAGATCTTTGACGAATGATTTATTAGTTAATCAATTATACATTATAAAAACTTTGCTTAAAGCACCTAAACTCACTTGTCTCTCTTTCAGAACCAAGGGCAAGCTGAATGTCCCACTGATGTATCTGCATCGTTATCTGCGCCTCACGCCTGTCGTCGCCTTGGCCATACTGTGCTACATGAGAATCCTGCCCCTCCTGGGCGCCGGTCCGCTCTATAAGGGCCTGGTTGCTCAGCTCTCGGCGCCCTGCGAGGACAACTGGTTCTGGACGCTGCTCTATGTGCAAAACTATGCCACCAACACTGTGGTAGGTGACAATATGCCAAATTAATCTATAAAGTCAAACGTCAAGTGTTATCTTTGCCATTGCAGTGCCTGCCGCATAGCTGGTATCTGGGCGTGGACATGCAGCTGTATATCTTCTCGCCCCTGTTTCTGATTGCGCTCTACAAGTGGGGCAAAAAGGCCATTGCCGGCATTGTGGTGCTTCTGCTGCTGTTGGCTGCATGCCTCTTCAGCATGATGGTAGTCAAGGGCTACAGCTTGTAAGTATCTAGCCTAAAGGGCAGTTAAAGTTAGCAAGGCGCCTGTCTAATATTTGCCAGGCAGTTAATATAACAGTGCTGCCAATTTGTAGTACTTTAACAGCACTGGCAACACTGCTCGGGTTTTCGATAATTACTTTGATAATTAATTTATCATGTTCATGTTAATTGTTAAAATATTTGCCAGGCGGTTGCAAATGTTTGCAGTGTTGCCAGCTTGTCTTACTTGCAATTTGAATTGTGAACTGCTAGAGTTGCCACCTGGTTGTGTGCGCAAATGGCAACGCTGCTTGCAATTTACAGGCTACTGTTAAATTGACAGCGTTGCCATTTAATTCTTACAATCATAATTTCCTGAACCTGGACACTGTTTAAGACGTTTGTATTTTTTGTAGATCTACTGGTGGCATGTCCGATGAGATATACTTTACGACGCACACACGCGCCTCGCCCTGGATAATTGGCCTAATCTTTGGCTATTATCTGCATGTGAATCGCAGCAAAACCTTTAAGCTAAATCGTCTAACCGTCTGGCTGGGCTGGCTCATCAGCCTAGGCCTGATCTTCACCAGCCTGTTTGCGCTCTATCCATATCCGGCGAACGGCAATCATTTGCCCATCGTTAATGAGGCCTTCTACGTGACGCTAACACGGATTGCCTGGCCCCTGGCACTCGTTTGGCTGGTGTTCGCCTGCAAATACGGCTACGGCGGATTGGCCAACAGCTTCCTCTCCAGCCCGCTGTGGCAGCCCCTGTCGAAGCTCTCCTACGGCGCCTACATCTGGCACATACTCATCGCGATGCTCAATGCCGGCATCACGCGCACCAGCACCTACTTCAGCGACTATCAAGTGGTGCGTTATCTTTCGCATACGTTGCGCCTTCTGCCATATATCTATAATTGTGTTTTGTTTTTTGTTTTTTTGCAGATGTTGCGCTTTTGGCATGACTTTGGCTTTACCATTTTGTTGGCCTATTTCATGTTCCTCTTGGTCGAGGCACCTTTCGGCGGCTTGGAGATGTTATTGTTACCCACTCGCGCGCCCAGAAGCCAGCCTCCTCCAGCTGCCAAGAGCAGCCCCATAGCCGAGCCGGAGCCATCAAGCATTGAAATTGCGCCTGCGCTGGAGCCGAAAACAGCTCCGGTTAATTAGGTTGCAAGACGCTTTATATAATTCCTAAGTAAGCTAAGCTATTCTTAATTTATTTGGACATATTTTGCAGTATTTTAACAATAATCTTAATAATATGTGTTACGGCAACAAAACCCTTTGAAAGACGCGATTTAACGGTTTATATTATCGATTATCGAAAGTCAAACTTGGCAGGGCTGCAGTGCAGCTTATGAGTTCAGGGCTGCAAAATTCAAGCGCTTACAAAATGGGCCGTTCGATTTTCAAATGCACTTTAATTTTTTATGCTCTTAATTGTAATTCTAACATTTTGCAATTATGAACAGCTGCTCAAGGCTGTTTAACGGATCTGACTTTGATATTCCAATAAAATTAGGCTTATTGGATGTGGACATCCATTACGATTCGAATTCGGAAATCAGATGAGCTAAGCATTGATTCGATAAGGACAGCAATAGAGCAGTCTATTGCTGTTACATTCGCACCAGACATAAACCGACACAAGTTCTATTTATCAGATTATCGTTAATATTGGTAAACCAGCCAATTTAAGCCCAAGAGTATTCAATCTTTTAGGTTAAGTTTTTTAAATCTATTTGTTGAGTTTGGATTTGGAATATTTATTTTTGAAATGGAAACTTTTAGAAATGAATTTCCCAATATTTTAAGAATATTTATGCTGGACAATGGCAACTTTTAGGATTTCGAATGCCAGAACACAGAATATGCGACAACCCTATAAGTTAGAGATGAGCTAAGGGAGCAGCATGTTGATATTGAAACTTATCGATAGCTCGAAAACGGCGTGAGTTATCGATGATATGTTGCGTTCAAAATGTGAAGTCTCTAGCTCTAAAAGTACCTGAATTCTAAAAACAGATCAACTAATAGAGATTGTCTAGAGGGTCAGAAACAAAGCCCATACAAAGCCCTTTAAAAAACCTTTTTTTACGCATTTTTATAGTTTGTTTTTTTTTTTTTGTTGCGTCGACCCTCAAGTGCGTGACTCTATTATAATGTTACTATTCAAATATTGATTAAAATGTACAGCATAATTGCAATTGTTTTCAAATTGCGATAAGCACGGCGGCTAGATTATACTTAGATAGTGTCATGAATGGAACATTTACGAGTCATTCGAATTGGACAATAAAATAATCGTAGCACCTTATCAAATGGCCCACAAGTGGCCAAACAATTGACTTCGCCTCAACTGAACTGATTCACAGCCGGCTGCCGTAAGGCTAATTGCGATTTTATAGTCTGCGGACTGGCTTTGAGCTGAAGGCCGTTCTCTGCCAGCTGCCAGCTGCCGGCCACTTGACTTTGCGTTTAGACTGACAAGTTCAGGGAACAGCTGGCGGGGTTCGAACCCGGAACCACACGCCTTTTTATTCCGAATCCCATTAATGCCACAAAGCAAGTTCGTTTCATAATTTAAATATATATTTATTTAAATAAGCTTAGTTTAACTTAGTTTCTACTTAAGCATAAGTTCATATAAATAACAAAAAAAAAAACCTTTTTATACTAATACAAAGATTATGTGCTTGCAGGTGGCGCACTCGACGCGCCAGCCGGGCCCGCTTCCAGATCAGCGGCCGGCTGCGGCATGGACGACTTCTCGGCGAGCTGTGGAGCTGGTGCCGCGGTTGCCGCCCGCTTGGACTCGACGGAGATTGCCGGCCTTGGGCTGGGCAGCAACAGGCTCTCCAGGCCGCCCAGCGGCGCCTCGATGAGGATGTACATGAAATAGGCGGTCAGCAGTGTGAAGCCAAAGTCCGCCCAAAATTTCAGCATCTGTGTAGAGAGAAACTTAGTTGGGTTCATGGAGAACGGCTGAGACTTACCATTTCGTAGTTGGAGAAGTATGTGTTGGTCTGGACGCGTCGCCCATTTATTTCCTGTATCATAATGTGCCACACGTAGGCCGAATAGGAGAGCTTCGACAGCGGCTGCCACAGCGGGCTGGAGAGGAAGCTATTGGCCATGCCGCCATAGCCCTGCATGCAGGCGAATACCACCCAACAGAGTCCGATGGGCCAGCCAATGCGGGTTAGCGAATAGTAGAGGGCATCGCTTAGCTGCGACAAATCCGGACCGGACCATTCAACATAGGGCAGCAGCACAAATTCGCACAGAAAGAATATGACCAGGGCGCACAACCAGCCGGACCAGACGGCAATGCGGTTCAGCTTGAAGGATTTGCCACGATTCGCATGCAGGAAATAGCCAAAAACGGCGCCAATTAGCCATGGTGTGCCGTGCATGTGTGTGCCGAAATAGAGTATTCGACCATTTGGACCGTTTCCAACGTTTCTGCAGAGCAGCCGAAGAAGAAGATAATGCGTTAAGTGAGGTTAGGTTAGGTTAAGTGAGGTTATGTTGCGTTAGCGGGGGGTTAGAATAGGATTAGATAAATGGCATGGAATAGAATACTCAAGATTCTATCTTTTGATTTTCATTTGCAATTACTTACAAAGTTTCTCCAGAGTTGCAGAATAAGAAGAAGGGATAATTGAGGTTAGGTTGGGTTAAGCAATGGTATAAAGTGAGGTTATGTTGTGTTAGCGTGGGGTTAGAGTAGGATTGGATGCATGAACTGCGATACGATGTGCTAGTTTTTATTGCATGAATTGAAATTTTACGTTTCTAGCATTTCTGCAGAGCAGCAGGAGAAGATAAAGTGAGGTTATGTTGTGTTAGCGTGGGGTTAGAAGGGAATAAGATAAATGCTATGGAATAGAATATCCAAGATTCTATTATATGATTTTCGTTGTTAAGTTTTACAGCACTTCTGAGAGGCAGCAGCAGCTTCAGCAGAGCATATAATGTTAAGTGAGGTTAGGTTGTGTCAGAGTGAGGTTAGAACGTGTCAGGCTGAGATTAGGTAAGGGTTAGCTGAATGTCATTGAATTGGATGCTCTAGTTTCTATTATTTAATTTCCCCTAAGTACTCACTTGACGAACATGGACATATTCTTGACCATCATGACGGTAAATAGCCAAATGGTTAACAGCACAATAAGGATCACAGCGCCAATGGCGGCCTTCTTGCCCCATTTGTAGAGCGCAAAGAGCAGTATGGGTGAGAGCAGATACATCTGCATATCCACGCTGAGGTACCAGCTATGGCTGAGGCACTAAATACACATTGAGAGCCGGTAACATGCATGTTAAGGGTGCCTGGTAAATTTGATCAACTACTTACAAGATCATCGGTGGCATAGTTCTGCACATAGAGCAGCGTCCAAAACCAGGTGCGTGCGCATATGCTGTAATCATCAAAGCCATTCTTATCCAGCGGACCATCGACCAGCACGGGTATCATGGTCATGTAGACCAGTATGGCCATGGCCAGCAGAGGGGTGAGCCGCAGATAGCGATGTAGATACATCAGTGGGACATTCAGCCTGCCCTTCTGCCGTTCCATGGAACGCAGCGCAATCATTACCACCAGCAGGCCGCTCAGGAAGAAGAACGTGTCCACGGAGAATACGGCGTGTAAGATGAGCTGAGCGAAAGGTCTCTCGAGCCACTGTGAAAGGACAATCAAATGTGCACTGTCAGCATTATGCTCAAGGACTTCCTGTTGTTGTTTCGCCTACAAAGAACATACTGCTGGCGTTCACATTGGGTGCAACCATGCCGAACATGTACTCGTGCCCAAAGACCACCCAGATGAGGGACATGCAGCGCATGCCGTGCAGACAATCGATGACATTCGGATTGGAACCGGGCTGGCTGATGCGGAACAGTGCACGGGATGTGGCGCGTATGGAGAAGATCCTAATCAAGGACGGCAAACGAGCTGTCGGTGCAAATGTTAGACTAGATCAGGCATCAAAGTTTGGCTTGTCAGCTACTCACTTTGATCGGGGCACAGAAAATAATCATATAGGGTGGCGAGTAGAGCGAGTGCAGCAAATACGGAGAGCAGCACACTATAACGCACAAGGATTAGCACACGGATATTTCGCAAGGATGTGCGCACTTACATGGCCAAGATGGCAAGACCATCGAGCGGTTGAGCTTCATTGGTGCGGCAACTGTTGGCATTCACCAGCTCCGATGTGCTGGTCACGCCGAGCGCCTGCTGTAAAATCTTGTTCAGCAACGTGTCCATATGCGCCGCCGTACAGGTGGCGGGAAAGCAAATGCCGATCTTGAGCTTGCTGCTACGTATGGTGGACGCATCAATGCCCAGTAAACTGAAAAGGGGCAACTCGGCCAGGCAGTATTTGCCCCTAATGGCATTCTGGCTAATCTTGATGCACTCGCCATAGTTGCCAACATCCACCAGATTCAGATAGAGTATGCCCGACGGAATCGAGCCCCAGGCATCAATCACTATAAATAGATGGGGATCAGGATCAGGTTTGAGGAATTTCTAACATCCAATCGAGCTCTACACACTTTTCAGGGACCAATAGCGGCCGGTGGTAAGACCCTTCATCCACAGACTCATATCGGCCAGGCACTGCAGATCCTCATTGCTGGGCAGACGTGTGCCGTGTATATCCAAGTCCTGCAGCGTTATGTTCTGAAAGTATCGCATGAAATCCATGCCCAGACTCTGCAGACGCATCAACTGTTGATATTCCTGCGCGCCGATTCGATATTCCTGCGGCA